AAAACTTTTTTTTCGAAAATTTTCGAAAATTTTCGAAATTCGATATCTTCGAAACGGGGGTCAAAAAAAAAACTAAAAGGTGGGCAAACGTGGTCAAACGAGGGTCAAACGATTCCAATTTTCAAAATTGAAATTCGAAATTTTTTTGGACCCAACTTCTTTAAGCTCAATCAGTCGTCGTCGCCCGCGCTGCTCCACATTTCAATTTCACTCCGCAGAACAACGAGAAGGAGAAAAAAGCAAATGAAAGAAATGAAACTAAAAAAAAGTTTGCTGCCTCTACTGCTTCCAACATTTTCACGCGCTTCGTGTTGCCAGGGGAAGGCAGCAATGGTTTGGGACCGAGCCCTTCGTGTCCCCAACAGACACACACACGCGGCCGTCGTCTTTACAACTTTACAACAACAGCAAACGAGCGAAGGAAACCTTCGTCAGCATTCAACATCCAGCATCAATCCTCCGACGTCCCGCATCAGCCTTTTTCATTCTTTTCTCCACTGCATTCTTATTTTCCCCATAGTGCAATTGCAACAACAGGAACAGCAAGAACAACAACAACGACAACCGCATAAGCTCAAGCACAGCGCATACAAATAATTTACGCCATGCAAAAGCGAAAAGCTAAAAATGAGTAAAGGCTCCAAATACACATACAAACACTATGTGTGGAGGTCACAGCCGAGTGCACAAAAGTAGAGTCATAAAATATTTTAATTCAAATTGGAACTTAACCAAATAAATGAAGTATTTTTCCAAGTTCAAATCGAAATAGTATGTGTCCAAAAATTATTTTAAATTCTATACCACAAATTAAGAAATATTCTAAAGCATGAGTTACATGGGGTTTCTAGATTTTTGACCACTTGTGTTTTACTCTGTTACACGCGCCAGTGTAAAATCATCCTCGGCTGCTACTGTTGTCTTTTTTTTTTTTTTTTTTTTTTGTTGAAGCTGCAGCCCATTGCATTCATGCGTGCCCGTGTGTGGGTACGCTAGGTTGTGTGAGTGTAAAGGGCGGTAAAGGGGAGGCGAATGCACGAGTTGTTTGCATTTACTCTACGCAAATGAGCGGCATTTGGCGTTCTTCCTTCTCTGATTTTCCTGAAGAGAGAGAAAGGTGGAGAAGAGAACGGTAGTGGGTGGCAGGAGATGGAGGCAGCTCCCTGCGCACAACTCACTCTCACTTGATGCTGCTGCATTATTTTGTTGTTGCCTTCTTTGAATGACTAAGAGCGTACTTTTTTTTTTTTTGGTTTTGGTTGATTTGGAGAATGGGCAAAGGACTGTTGACGAGTTGGCAACAGCATCAAATACAACGTAAAAATGGCAGGAAAAATATGCATAGAAAAATCACAGCAAACAAATTCACAACGCTAAATGCACTCCCCACTCTCCAACTCTCTTGCTCCCCCTCTCTCTATCTCTCTTTTTCGCTCGAGTGGGGTTACTGACATTGCAGCAGCCGGGCGACGACGTCGACAGAGCACTGTGTACCGTTGCTAAGTGCAATGAGTGCGGGAGTGAGAAAGAGTAAGTGAGAAGGAAGGAAGGGGGGCGGAAGAGTGAGTGCGAGATTAACTTTCTGCATAGACTTTTCGGCTTGCTCTCTCCTTTGCTCGTATGTTCTACACTTTTCGTTTCGTTTTCGATTTGGCGCCAAAACAAATGACCGTTAGGGTTCAAGGAACTCTTTTCTAGCTACGCTGCTCCATATCCCCAACATATAGTCATAAGAAATATACACAAAAAAGAGAAATTCTTATCAATTTACAATTTAATCAGATAGCATTTTAAAAGATATATTAAAACTTTTAAAATTGAAAATTTTGAAGGTATACAAATTCTATTTACTAAGCTGAAAAATATTTTTTTTTAAACCATGAGGTGTATGTAACTTTTCAACTAATGTTCAAATAAAGTAATTTTACTCTCACGTATTCAACTAATATGAAAATATTAATTAAAAATTTTTTCATGTGTAGCAACTGCACTATATTGTGGCACACACATCGTTGTCTCGTTCTCACGCATGTTTTGCATTCAATTTAGCACGACTGCATTGAGATCGATCGCGTATTAGTATTTGCCTGTTTGTATCATAAAACTGAATATGCCAATTAACAACAGCAGCCAACAATAACTAACTAAAACAATAACAGCAAAAACCAAGTGCAATAAGAGCACAAGAAATTGACATGCATGCCAAATGCAGTTGCTGAACCACATCATAAAAAGCAACAATGGCAACAATAAAGACAATGCAGATGGAAATGATGGCAATTGAAACAGCCACTCTCTCACCAACGCTCAAAAACACAAACATTCACGTTTCCTAATGCACAAATGCAAACCGAGAATTGCAGAAATTTTGGCAATGATGACTACAATAAACACATAACTGTAATAATGCTCACATTGCTCTACAAGGTTTTTTTTTCAGTAAAATTGCATCTAAACTCCATTGTTTGGCAATTGTCCAGATTTACGAACAGTGAAAAGTTAATCATCAATGAAGGATAATAATCGTTTTTGTACCTTAAGGCTTCAAGTCAGTGGAATTATAGCAATCAGTTTGAGGTTTTTCTCATTATAACAAGTCATCGTTCAAAATAACAAGAAGGTAATATTACACACTTCCAAAAATAACGAACATACAATGATACTCTAATGTCACAAGTTTACGATTACGAGATCGGGCTTATAATGCTCAGTTAATCTTAGTTTAAATTTAAACCCTTGTATTTTATAGGTTGTCAGAAGATGTGAATAGCACACAAGGTATGGGTTCCCTGAGTTAGATTTACTTAGGCACGCATCGGTGGCAACCTTCCTTTCCCATGACCACCATTTTCATCCTGGCTTTCTACTCTTTAATGTCGTTTTCTGTGACTGAGCACACACACATGGAAAAACGCGCTGAGCACTCCCACACACGCCCTATGCTGCAACGCATGAACAAATATAGAAGATATGCAGTTATTTACATAAAAGCTTTATAAATATGTGCATAAGCTTGCCACTGCGCTGTGCGTGTGTGGCTGTGAGTTTTTTGGGGGAAGGGAGTGTGGGGATAATGGTCTATGCATGTGAGCATGTGTCCAACTAATCGTAAACTCAACTCGCTGATGCCACAAGTCGAGTTTTTAGCCTGATCCTGAGGCTGAGCCTTCATCTGAGGCATCATATTCAGCTTACTGCCTTTCTGACTGAGCATTTTCTTCGTTCTGCGAAAAGCCGTCAATTACACTGTAAGAAGTTATTCTATCATTCCAAGTAGGAATCCTAGTGTAATGTTTTTACACATGTTTATTAAATGCAGCAAGATACATTTTTTCATCGTTATTAAAAGCAACTTTAGGTTTTAATTAAATATATACATATATGTATATATATAAAATATTTGAACTCTTGTTAAATATTTAACTCCTTTAATGAAGTGTTAATGGTTAAATATTATTATTAAGGCTATGCAGCTTGAATGCGTTTTTAGTTCGTGATTTTTTTCAAAGTGTCTCCTGACATTTTCCACGCTTGCCCTAACAACTGTACCAGACACCGTGTCTGCCACCTTTCAGCGTCTTCTTCTCGCCTCTGCAACGCCGCCCTTGTGGATTTTTCCTAACAATTGCAAGTCGCTGCTGGCAGCCTAGCAACCGAAAGCGCGAAAGCCCTGGCCGCAGTAATGAAAAGCAAAGTTGTGAAAAACGAGGGAGGAAAAATAAAGCAATCATTGCACTTGTCCCGCACAGCTGCAACAACTAACTGCAACAACAATATGGCCAAGGCTGTATTTTTTTTTTTTTTTGCATTCATTCCTGGTTGCTACGTTGCTTCAATTTAGCTTCGTTTTCACTGTGTGTGTGTGTGAGGTTGTAGGGGTGTATGGGTTTAAGAGCTCGCCCACAATGGGCGTGGCAGTCATTTCCCGCAATTACGCCTACACACAAGCGACCTGAGTTGGCGGGGGGATATAGAGATGTAGATGGATGCGGATTGTGGATGGAAATGGAGGAGTTGCTCCTGCGATAAGCTCTATTTGCAGCAGCTGCCAGCGAGATGTGGCAACTCTGGCCCACAACCACACGGCCAAACGGTCGTATACGTATCATGCCCAGAAGTATGCAACACTTTTGTGAGCCTCGAAGCCTGATGAATTGAGAGCGAAAAATAGACGGTGGATGGTGGGGTTCGATGAAAATAAATGGAAAGCATGATGGACTGGGTTGGCGGTTATCCCCTTGTGTAGAGGATTAAATCCCGATATGTTTATTTATTTATAAATTAAATTATTTCCCTAATAAAAAAGGATTTGCGTTAGGCGTCGTTTATATTCGTCAAACTGCATAATAAACGGCAGTTATCCTTTTCGGTTTAAAGATAATGAATGAAACGTAAATCCGTCATTCAATCGTAATGAGCTGATTAATTTTCTTCAGAAATACTCGTTGCCATGGAAATGTGTAATTCATTAAGGGCTTATACCTCAACCTACCTTATCCTTCAGCCCCAGTTTTAAAAGTCGAGGCTGCCTGCAGTCTACACTTTGCTCTTGGTTCTGTGTGTATATTTGTGGTTGCCGGATGATTTTGACTTTTTGTGCGACTGTACGTCCGTCTGTCTGTTTGGCTTTGGCATAAAATGTTTCAAGTGTCATTTATATTTCATTTTTACCCTTTTTTAATGCCGGCTACGGCCACGCCCACCGCCCACAAGCCAACCCAGACCACTGGACGTCTGTGCAAATTAAAATGTTTCCGTTGTCGTCGCAAATTCCCACACAGAGACAGAGAGCCTCCATAGTTGGTCGAGATTGAATTTTATGGCCCGACGTCGGGCGCCAGAGTTTCTGCGAGTCCTGCGGATCGTGGCAGGATGTCAGGGCTGTCCGGATGCGGATTACACTAATTATGAAATGACATCGACAACGGCGTCGTTGATTTTAATGGTTTTCTGTTGTCAACTTAATTAACAAATTTTCTCTCCTTTTGCCTCGATTGCAGGAAGGATGCTGCTGATGTCACCGCCGTTGCAGTAGCAACACCAGCCGAAGGAAAGACACAACCGACCCGCTGCTCCCCCCGACAACAAGCCACACACATGTTGCTGCCACAACTAAGATGCTCAGCGCTGCCAATGCAACTGCAACAGCAACACATGGAGCAGCAGCAGCATCCGCGATTGCCACAGCCGAGACTTATGTCATAACAAACAAACAGCAGCAACATCAGCAGCAGCAGCAACAAGTCTTTGTTGTTGCCGCTAACAAAATGGTGATACCAGCAACGGGAGCAACAATCGCCGGTATACCAACAGCAACAACAACAGCAGCCGCCGAGTCAACAGCAACACAGCAACACCAGCAGCAACAGCAACACCAGCAACATGTGCTGTTCCAGCCGCACCTACAGACAACAACAACAACAACAACAACAACAGCAGCAACCAGCACACCTCAGCAACAGCAACCACCTCAGCCGCGGCAGCATCCCAAGAAGCGAAAGTTCGATCCAGCCGAGCTGGACAAGACCGAGCAGCATCCCCAACAGCAACAGCAGCAGCAGCAGCAGCATCATCAGCAACAGCAGCAGCAGCAGCAACTGAGTCTGCAGAAGCAGCAGAAACCCGCCGATACCAATGGCAATAGCGAAGGTTTGGCCAACGGCAATCAGCTACATCGCATGATCGTAAGTTGCGGTGCAGGCGCCGGCAACAACAGTAGCAGCAGCAACAGCAGTAGCAGCGATATCAAGCAGCAGCAGCAGCAACGTATTATCATTGCATCCCCGCTGCAACATGCCAGCGTTAGTACTTACAAGCAACATGTTGCCAGCGGCAACGCAGCCACAATCAATCATCAGCAACGCACACACACGCCCACAACCGCCGTCTACTACCAACAGCAGCAGCAGCAGCAACAGCAACAACGTTTTAGCTTTAACTCAAACAATCAGCAACATGTACAGGAACAACACCAGCAGCAGCAGCAGCAACAACAGCAACAATCCCTGCTCGATCTCAGCGAGTGGAACAACACGCGTGTCCTAGCCAAAATCCACAATCAATATGCACCCGGGATTATACGCCAAGTGCAGGAGGCGTCTCCCGACACAATACTCGTGGAATTCGATTCCACCGAATTGGGATTACTGTTATATCCGGACGTGTTGCACCAGGGCCGCAACCATGTGATACTCGATGCCAGCCCGCCAATGGCGGATGTAAGTAGACCCCAAGAAATGTAATTTTCGGAAAGTCAAACACTCTAATGGTTTTCTCTTCCACACGGTTAGATTACCCTGGATGCCCGTGTCTGCGTTCGACAGCGGGTCGAAGGTCGTGGCTCCAGCAGCTTCGTCTACGTGGAGGGCATCATAACGGACATCAACCAGGCCACGAAGCAATACAGCGTGCAGTTGATCGGTGATGAAATGGTATGGGCACAGGAATTCTATTTTATGTCCCAAAGTCTAATGTTTTCAATGTGAATAGAAACCCTTGAACTTATTTGAGCTGTAAACATATTCTTAAAGTAACTTAATTCAAGGCTTAATATAACAAACTTGTAATATCAAACTGTTTTAAAGTTATTCTTTTGCAAAAATTATGAAGTTATGAAATTATAAATTATGATTCGTAGCTGTATTGATATCACAAAATTATCACATCAATTTGAACAAAGACTGAAAACACTTTAGTAAAACTTTCAACGTTTTAAATGTTTTCTGTTTTTAAGAGGCTAACTGTGATCTTTAATTTTAAACGTATGATGTATTTTTACAGGCCACCACCAAGGTAGTTCGTCGCGCCGATCTGCGGCTGCTCCAGCCGCCATGGTGGGATGAGCTCAACGAACTGACGCCCGCAGGTGGAGCCAGTGCATCCACACCGAGTGGCAAGCGGAAGGTGGCGTCCGGGGGAGCGGGAGCAGCTGCTGGCGAAGCAATGGCCGTGCCCAGTGGCAATATCGTTTACCCAAAGGCGGCCACCGGCACACCACTGACCTTCGTGGCCACCCGATATGATGGAAAGCTGCCAACGGCACCGCCCACCCCCACCCACCAACAGTCGCAGCAGCAGCAGCACCTGGTGAAACAAGAAGAGTATTATCGGACGACGGCCACGTCGCCGTTCCAGACGCGACCCTCATTCGCCGGCCACTCCCACGGATCGGAGCAGGTGGCCCCGGCGGCGCAGTCGCATCCCCAGCAGACCAACGGACTGCCGGACCTCGTGATCTCCCCGGGCAGCAATGGGCAGCACCTCAAGATGCAACAGCAACAGCAGCAGCAGTCGTCGCGGGGCTACGACGACTACGACTCCGACGACGAACTCAAGCGGGTCGGCATCGGATATTCGCCAGCCGCCGGCGATCTGGACACGGAGAAGATGAGCGCCTGCAGCAAGCGGAGCAGCATGCAGAGCCGCGGCAGCACGTCCAGTCTACTCGACCAGAGGCTCACACCACGATCTCATCCAGCAACACCAAGGTGAGAAAAAAGCTTTAATATGTCTAATATACTTGTTAATATGTTTGCGAAATATATTTAAAAATCCCTTTTGAAAAGGTCAGAAAATTATAGATCTTAGTAATTGTTTAAACTTTTTTAGATTTTTTGATTTTTTAATCAATACGTTACATTTCATTGTAAATTTAAGTTGCCTTAAGATCAAATATTGGCTAAAATTTAAAAGGCCGGTGGTATAAAATAGTAACTTTAAATATCATACAACGCAATGAGAAGGTTCTACCATTTCACAACTATGTAGTTGAGAATTAAGGCACTTTCATTAATAATCCGCTTGGGATGTAAATTGAAAATAATTAAATGTTTATTGTAACATTGTAGCCCAATTTTTATAACCTCTCCCCTATCCTTTACCGCTTGCTAATAAACCGGCAGTGCCATCCACAGATCTCAGGCCACCACCCCGCACCGGTTCAAGAAGGGAGATATCGTGGAGTCGGAGTCCGGCGTGCGGAAGAAGTACAACGGGAAGCAGTGGCGTCGCCTGTGCACGCTCTGCACCAAGGAATCTCAGCGGCGCGGCTTCTGCTCGCGGCACCTCAACCAGAAGGGCAACAACAGCGCCCTGCCCTCATCCACAGGTCCTGGTCGTCTACTCAGGTAAGCCCGACGAACCCAATTCTTTGAATAATATAATACATATAAATAACTATGTAGCAAAATCAAAAATAAAAATCCATGTATGTAAATGTAATCGTAATACTAAGTCTCTGCTTAAAAATATAAAAAAAAATTAATTTTTTAATGTTTATATTCAACCTATGCTTAATTGAGGAAAAATGTTCCTTTAGTTGTTTGGCAAAATAATTGAATTTTATTTTTTTTTAATTTTTTCTTGGAAAATATAAAACTAAATTTTAAATTTTTTTTTGGGTGTTTGTCTTGTGTCTCTTCTAACAGTGACAGCCGATCGAGCAGCAAGACGCAGATCGATGAGGACACCTCTCGCGACTCGGAGACGTCGCCCAACTATCGGGTCAAAGGTCGCTACGATCAGGAGGAGACCGATGCGGCCGTCATGCTGGGTAAGTCTCTGTCCCGCCATCACACCTCTTGACTCTTTACGATGTGACAGAGGGGACCATAAAGGCATTAAAGATTCCGTTTCAAAAACCCGTGAGCTCAACAATTTATTCATAGTTTGCAGCAATTCATTTCAAGGCTGGCTTTTCCAGCCCCTCGTTCGTTCCTTCCTTTTCTGTCTTATCCAGCGCCAGCTTAACCGTTAATCCATCTCTGCTCACGCAATTAGAGAGAGAAGGGCAGCAGGCAGAGCGGTCCGAAACCGATATTTTTCACGGCGCTTCTGGAAAATGTTCTTTGATTTTGGTACGGGGCAGAAGAACCTTTGTGTACCCTTTAAAGTGAAGAAACCGTCTCTTCTCCCAAAAGAAGTCCCCCATTAAAGAATTCCTTTGGAATGCAGAAGAAGCAAACATCTTTCATTCAGCCCAGAACCGGATTTCTTAAGCACTGGGGAAAAGTATTCGTAAAAGACCATAAAAAGCAGACCTCAAATAAAGGGCTTGTCAAGCTCCTTAAGAACATTAAATTCGGTTCAATAAAGAGGTTTTGGTTTGAGTTGCACAAAAAGGTTTTATGGTTAAAAATAAATATTTTTATGCTCAAATAATAAAATTGATATTCAGAAAAGAGCGGATATTAAAAAGGTATGACAAATTTTGTCGAAGTTGTACGATCTTAGATTGAATATTTGACAAAATAATTATAAAAATAATCCTTTTAAATTGTTTAAAATTGCTTTAAAATAAATGTTTTGTGGTAAACGTGTGATAAATGTTGTTCATAATTGTTGACATTCTTAGTTTGTTATTAGAGACCTCTTAGGTAGAGACCCTGACAAATATTTCTCGAAAAGGTTAGCGCACTTGGTCCAGTCGTGGCGACCCAGACCACTCTCATCTCTTGTTTTCTGGTTCTATGCATTTCCAATTCACCATAAAATGCATATCATAAAGTTTTATTGTGGCAGCGCCGTCTTTTCTTTCTGTTTTCCTACCCTACCGACCTCCCGACCCCTGTCCATTTTTCACACACCTCAACAAAGGTCGTTTGTCCGTCCGCCAGTCTGCCGCTTTTCATGAAAGGTGTCGTTGCTGCGGCGTAAAGGTCGTGTCCGATTCCAATTTCGATCCCGAAAACGAATCAAGGGTTCCATTGTCCGCCGGAGAAAACGAGCGATCTGCCCTCCTGCTCCCACTCCCATCCGATCGACCACTTGAGAGTGTGATCAAAAAGGCATAGGGATTTGTTCAGGCAGTGGCGTACGCGATTTTTGTGTCAGGGGCTTGAAAACAAGTGATATCAACTTTTAAGTTAGGTGTTCAAGCCAGATTTGTTTGTAAGACGTTATTTTTATGTAAAATCTTTCATTTATGCCTTGAGAATTCTTCTTATCTTGTAATTCCATAAAATGATCAATTTCTCCAGCTCCTACACGTGATCCGATTCTATAATCTTTACCTAAATATGTTGACTTAGTAATTTCTTTCTTTCTGCAATTACTCATATTAACAACAAAAACGCATCCACCCCCTTCATTGCACGCCACTGTGCCCACGCATTCCTAAGCACCTGCAAAACCACTTCAGACGAAACAAAGCAAGAGCAGCGACGCCGGCGTCGACAAAGGTTGCGTGCAGTGGACGCTAATGATTTAGCTATTTTTGGCTACTTTCACACAAGACTTAACAATTTTTTTAAATTTTAGCAGTTTTTGTACGAAAGATTCTGCCAGCACTGATTTCTCGCCAGACGCAGCGACGTCGGCAGCGGCTGCGGCTGCGCACCAGAAAAGGCAAAGGTAGATGCTGAGTCAGTGTCGTTGGCCAAGTTTTTATCAAGGGAGAAATAAATTGCATTGTGGAGTACTTTATTACATTATTTATATTAACTTCGATCTATTATATGGGCTGTTAGAGTTACGTTAAGGGACTAAACAATATTATGATTATGCTGCAACGACGCGGACTCAGAAAGTTTTCCCTGGAACATAAAGAAAATTTTCTATATTTCCAAAGCAATAATATCAGGGCTTTTAAGGCCGAGAATCCTGAACCGTCCCCTTCGTGGTACGCCACTGTGTCAGAGCCACTTGAGACGGAACAAAGCGAAAGCAGCGACGTCGCAGAGGTTGCGTGCGAAGCGCAACAGATTCTTTTCTTTTATTCAGCTCTTTTCTTGTTATTTGCCCTGCCTTTGATTCGTTTTTACCTAAACAAAAATGCACTTGAGAGCGGACAGACACACGCACACACACGCACGTGCTGCACACCTACACGGCAGGTAAACAAACATGGCGAGCGGAGAAAGAGAGTGAGAGCGCCGAGAGAGTGCAAGAGAGCGGCGATCGAATTATGCTGCTGACGTCGCTGTCGCTGCCCTTGGAAAGAACGTCGCCGAAGAACCGAATCATTTATGCTGAAAAGTGGGAACTGTCAAGAGCACAAAAAAATAGAATAAAATAAAATAAAAACTAAAGAACGGAAAAAGCAAAGCAATGCGAATGCAGCGGACAAAGGCAGAAAAGTGTAGATTTTAAGCAGTGGCTGGCGCAGCAGAGATTTCCGTGGAAATGCTCAAGAGGAGCGAAAGGACGTCATGAATGCGTTCCAGGACTTTGAGCTGGGGGCCAAACTTTATCTGCAGTGCTTATGTAATGCTACAAGATCAAAAAGAGTGTTGTTCTCCCCCGAAAGTTAAGAATCGTCAAGGGCAGGCTTTAATATTCGATTTTTTTCTGTTTCTTACAGTATCGCTGAGCAGCTCTCGATCTGCCACGCCCTCCTACACCTCACCTGTTAACCACGCTGGAGCCTCGCCGCTAAATGCCATTGCCCACTCGCCGGTTAATGTATCTGCCAGTCATAGACAGAACTTTTTCACGCCCATTGCCAACCAGTCGCAGCAACAGCAGCAGCAGCAACAACAACAGCAACCTGTGGCCGTACCGCTCGACTCCAAGTGGAAAACAACACCCAGTCCGGTGCTCTACAATGCCAGCAATAACAACAACAACAACAACAATGGCTGGGAGGCAGGGAGCAGCAACAGCAGCAATACCCCTGTTGCAGCTGCGGCACCAACATCGGCTGTTGGCACTCAACCACTGCCGCCGCAAACGACGCCCGTTTCGCTGGTGATGCATGCCCCACCGCCGCACCACCAACTGCAGCAGCATCACCACCAACCGCCACCCCCGCCACCTGCCAGCTTGCCTGCACCAGCGGCCCCACCCACAAGCGGTAGCAACAACAACAACAGTGTGGGTCATGCCACCAGCGTAATACGCATCTCTAGCAGCCAGCAGCAACATCCGCAGCAGCAGCAGCAACATCCCCATGTGGTGGTGTCCGGCGGTCAGACCTTTCATCCCGTGATTGTGGATGCCACACAGCTAACGGTGCCATTGCCACCCACAACGGTTTCATTTCATCAGCCGAACACGCCCACTTCTACAGCAGCGTCAGTGGCTTCCATGGGACAGGAGAAGATGCTGCCAAAAAACGGTAGGTTAATCAGAGGTGCACAATACAACAAAATTGTTTCTTGGAAGTCTTCTTTTCAATCGGCAATTTATCTTCTGAAATTAAGTTTACTTTTGAGTTAATTGATCTTTTAGTTTACTAAGAAAAATAATAAATGACAGCAACTTATAGTTTTAAAACCTCCTCTTCTTTCAGGCTACAATGCTCCCTGGTTCAAACTGCTGCCCCACATGACGCCCATGAGCAAGGCGCCTCCAGCTCCGGCCACCCCAACCTTGACCACTTCGGCCAGCAGCTACAACGTGGTGATGATGCAGCAACAACAGCAGGTTCAACAACAACTACAGCAGCAACAGCAGCAGCAATCTCCTCAGCAGATGCCGCTGAACCACAACAACAACCATCTGATCGTGCCCGCCCCTCTTTGTTCGCCGGGCAAGCCACTAAACTGCTCGATGAACGACGCCAAGGCAGCGGCAGCAGCAGCGGCAGCGGTGGCCAGTCAGAGGCAACAACAACAACAGCTGCAGGAGGAGCCGGACGATCAGCTGGACGACGATGTCTTCGAGGCCACGACGCCCGGGATCAGTGGCAACGGGAAGAAACAAACGGCGGCCATGCGACTGCCCACCCACAATAGCAACATCCGCAAGTTGGAGGAGTGCCATGATGCCAGCGACGGGGTTGCAGGAGCCCCAGCCACGTCCGCTGCCAAACGGAGGAGTCAATCCTTGAGCGCCCTGCAGCAACAGCAGCAGCAACAACAAGCTGGAGCGGCAGGAGCAGCAGCTGGACAGCCGGCGAACAAGAAGATCCGGCGACCCATGAACGCTTTCATGATCTTCTCGAAGAAGCACCGCAAGATGGTGCACAAGAAGCACCCGAATCAGGACAACCGAACGGTTAGCAAGATCCTGGGCGAGTGGTGGTATGCCCTGAAGCCAGAGCAAAAGGCCCAGTACCACGAGCTGGCCAGTTCCGTGAAGGATGCGCACTTCAAGTTGCATCCAGAATGGAAATGGTGTTCCAAGGATCGCCGCAAGTCGTCCACTTCGACGGCAACGCCGGGTGGCAAGGCGGGCGCAGCAGCCGGAACGGGTGACGCCAAGCAGCGCCTGGTTTCGGTAGATGGATCCGATTCCCTAGAGAACGACATGTGCCCCTCGACGCCAGGAGGCAGCGGTAGCTGTGGTGGACAGGGCATGTCCTCTGACCTGCAGGGCGACATTATTCCGCTGACGATCGACAACTACAACAGCACCTGCGACGAGGCGCCAACCACGATCTCGATGAAGTCCAGCGGCAACGGCAAGCTGATGAAGAACGAGCTGCCCTCCGACGAAGATGAGCAGATGCTGGTGGTGGAGGATGAGCAGCCACAGCAGCCTGCGAAAAAGCTGGACCTGCACTGCCGCGAGCGGGTGAATGACTCGGACATGGATGAAGCACCCTTTGACTACCGCAAGCAGCAGCCAGAGGCCAGTCAGGTAAATACAATTAGCTGTCTCCGTACTGAATGCAACTTAACTGTTTCATTTGTTTTACAGCGTTCGACGGAGGAGCACAGTACGTCCGGTGCCAATGGCCAGGCCATGAATGCACCGCCGCTCAGCGGAGGCGAACGCGAGATAACGCTCAAACCGAAGGCCATCAAGGCGCATCCGGTGCTGGAGAGCAACATGCTGCCATACACCCAGATGTCCATCTACACGCAGTACACTAGTCCCAAGAATCCAATCGGTGTAACACCATTCCAACCCACAGGCGAGCAACCCCGCTAATCTTCGCCCCCGAACCTCCATGCTAATGAAAGGATTACCATTACTTTTGATCTGCAGGCGGCGCCTTCAAGTCGATGCCCATTAGCCCAAAGGGCAGCGGGAGCAAGCCGGAGGACGCTGCGTCCCTGCAGCCACATATCAAGCAGGAGGACATCAAGCAGGAGCCGCCCTCGCCCTACAAGCTGAACGGTGGCTCGGGTTCCGCTGTCGGTGGGGGCGTGGTCAGTGCCCCGCCGCCCAGCAGCGGCAGCGTCGGTGCCATTTTCAACTTCAATGTGCCAACGGCGACGGCTTTGAGTCAGAAGCAGTTCCACTACCCCATGCACCATCCCCATCGAAGTCCCACGGATCTGCGAGGTGAGTAAAATTGGTTTGAAAATGGGGATGTTTCTTCAAGAGATTGAGAAGCCAACAGGTCATATTCTGATATTTGAGACAGTTGTAAGGAAACACATTTCCTGCAAATGTTTCCAAAATGTTAAAAGGTTTTTCACTTACAATTGTTTTAATGATCTGATATGCCCTGATATGGCTATAAAATATATTTTTATTTATTTTAATTCATATTTACAACATACTACTTGAATATTATTTTCTTTAATTTAAATTTTTATTTAGTGTTGGCTAGAATTGGCATTATTTCTACTATGATTTGTTGACGACGTCTGATTTCTTTATAGTATAGTTTCTGCTTTAGTTTTTTGTGCTTTAGAATATTGAGAGACCAAAATTGGAACATTTCCCGCACTTGCATCGATCGTTTCACGCCCGATTCCCACTTATCATTTAGCATTCGCAAGCCTCATCCGCAAAGTTTTTCAAACGAAAGCTTTCTGCATAACATAACATCTTTCTCTCTGTTTCTCTCACTTTCTCTCTCACACACGATTAACACACACCCCACTATTGATCTTCCTTTGTCGCGCTGTCATTCTCGTCACCTCACCCATAAAAAACAATCAATCAATCAATCGTAGAAGAAGAACCGAATGGGGGAAATAACACAAAGGGGGCAAAGTCGGGGGAGAATATTGAGAAGGATGACGCTGTGTTGGATGATGCAGAACCTGACGAAGAAGACGACGAGGATGAGGATGATGATGACGACGACGAAGACGACGAGGACGACGAGCAGTTCATGCAGGAGCTGGCCAGCGTGAACGCCAGTGCCGGTTTCGACGACCTTGCCCAGTATGCGATGCCCAAGACCGTGATCACGCCCACACCAACGCCTCCGCCGGTGGCCACCATAGTGACCCCCATCAAGCGGAAGCAGTTCACCATCGTGCGATCCCTGACACCGCTGCAACCCTCGAACTCCCCGCACCAGCAGCTGAAACATCTGCACCAGCGACGCGGCGAAACTCCGCCGACGGTCATCACACGCGTGCCCACGCCCACCATCAATCACTTCACCATCATCCGAACGCAACCACATCCACATCCACATTCGCATCCTCACAACACGCCGCCACCGTTGTTTTTCAAGCAGAAGGTTCAGGGCTCACCAGTGATTGCCACAGTCACATCCACAGCATCATCATCAGCATCAACATCATCCAACCCAGCCAGTAACGAAGCCCCTAATAAATTTTCCAATTTTCCGACACAACACCAACCACCAACAACAACAACCACAATAACATGCAATACTACTAACAACAATGCCACGCCGATCATACGAAAATTGCTAACGTTGCAAGAAGGAGGCGAACTTGGTGGCAGTCACAAGGGCACCGGACGAGCGGCGATCCTTTACGACGCCTTGGTGCTGGACACGTTGCACGGTCAGGATGAAGAGGACGACGACGATGAAGGGGACGGCGAGAGGGAGGAAGAGCCAAGGGTGGCGGCAGGTGGCAAGGAGCCGGTTTCCCAGCCAGCGACCATGTTGCTCATCACCGACGTGAACTCGTACAAGCAGCAGCACGTGGCCGGCAGTGCAGCAACGCCCGTGTCGGGAGCAGCCACCCTGCGTCCCGTGTCCTTCATCAGCATCAATGCCTGTAACAAGATTACCTTGCCACCGAACGCTCGCATCCTGACAGCGGCAACAGCAACATCCACAGCAGCTGGGACAGTAGCAACCAGCCAGGCGGGAGCCACGCTCACCGTGCTGACAAAGGCGGCGGCGGCGGCGGCCACAAATCATAGTAGTAGTAATGCCAACGAACTAACCATCACAGCAACAACAGCAGGAGCAGCAGCAGCGGCTGCTCCTGTGGCCACCAGTGGCTCGAGCATAGTCATGATTAACTCAACCACGACTCCCTCCTCATCCTCAAATTCCACCTCTTGTTCCGCAGCTGCCCACCAGGCGTGTGTGCCATCGTCGCCAGCGGGCATGGGACTGGGACATCCGGCCAGCATTGCCACGCCTCCGGCCTCGGCGCCCGCCCAGATCATGGGAGGCGGAGCGCCACCAGGTCAAAAGATGTTCTTCGCTATGGGCAATCCGGTAAGTGAAATGAATCATTTTAAAGCGATTTGATAATGTTATGTCTTGATTTCCCTACAGTATCCTTTGCTGCAGCGCACCCACCAGCCGGGAACGCCAAGTCTGGAGCACCTGCAACTGGACGCCTTTCCGCCTGGCAGTTACATCTTCAAGAACCACAACGGGTTGTCCTCGCTGCCACCACCTGTGAGTGCCCAGCCCACGATGCTGCTGCATGGATACACGCCCAGTCACAGTGCCGAACCGCCGGCTAGTTCGCCCTCGTACAAGTCGATGCCCTCCACTCCCAAGTCGGCCACCTATCTCATGAGTGCGCCGCCCGAAAGGAGCATGGAGGGCGGCATGGGCGGTTGTTCATCATCTGTGGTGAGTGCAGGCGACGATAGCGACATGGACGCCGAAGGCCAGCAATTTATTCTGGCTCCAACGCCGGCTCAGTTGGGACGAGCTCCACTTCAAAGGCGCAAGATTTTATGTGAGTTATTAAAAATAACATAATTTGTGAATCAAAAATAATCGAATTCGCTTTCCTTGCAGCTCAAAGCAAGTCGGAGAACAATGTATCCTTCGGCGCCAATTTGGGGGCCACCAATGGTCAGCACATCAGCCGAAAGTTGCACTCGCCCACAATGATGGAGTCCTCGTCGCCGATCATAGGCCATGTGAACAACAGCAGCCTAAGTTCGGCCCTGCCCACGCCCACTTCTTCAACCACAACGCCCAACAGCGACGAGCAACTTCCTCTGACGCCGACCACCAGCAGCAGCAACAGCACCCTCAACCAGCAGCCCAAATCTCCAATGAAAGGAGCTCCAGGATCAGCGGCAGCGGCTCTCAAGAAGAAAAACGACGAGATGAATAAGTAAGACACATTTGATTTCCCCAGTGATTTGCTTAATTAACCCTTTTTTTTGGATTTGCAGTAGTGTGCTCAAGCAGGTGGACTTTGAGAAGAAGTACAAGGCCCTGCCGCAATTTCAGCCGGAGGACTGCCAGTCGCCCAGTGCCATTGCTGTGCCCTCCTCGCCGCGCGTTTACGGCACGAATTACCGCAAGAAAAACACGGCTCCACCGCCCGTGCAAAAGCTAAGTGAGTTTTAAAGTCAGACATTAGTTTACCAGAAGGATTACAATAAATTGTTAATTAAACTTTCTAGTGTGCGAGGACGATTCCATTGACGAACCAGCTTCGGCACCGCCCACAACCACCCAGCGATTCTTTGGTCCAGACTTTACCAACGAGCTAAAGGGTAAGCATGAGACTAATATACATGTTTTTAGAGCTTGAATCTGTTTAACGTTTAAAGTGATAATAGCAGCGTAAAAGGCTTATAGTTATTAAACGAATTAGAGAACTTTGACTTTATACTTTCACTCTTATTTTCAAATACCTAATGAAGACGAACGCCTTGCAGAACTGGACAGCTCTGACCAAACGGGACGCTCGCCCAGGACGCCAAAGACACCGCTGCAAAGTGCTCGCTCCGATGCCAGTGAGAAGGGTCACCGCAAGGTGCTCGAGACGCGTCGGCACCTGGTCATGCAGCTATTTGCCGAGCACGGCAATTTCCCCACTGCCCAGGCCACGATAGCCTTTCAGGTGGGTGTCCCATAGGACGGATAGTCCTCTGAACATTTAAAATAATGCAAATATTCGTCCACAGACGAGGCACATCGATGTTTTTCCGCGCAAGCAAGACCTGCAGCTGAAGATACGCGAGGTGCGCCAGAAGCTGCTGGGCCAGGCATCCTGCACTCCGCACTCGGCGGGACCCAACACGCCGTCCGACTCAAACTCGTCGTCGACCACGTTGAGTGCCAGCAGCACCGGCTTGAATGTGCAGTCCACCAATGCGGCAGGTAATTAAAAGCGGTTTAAAGGATTCCTCTTCCCATAGAAATCTGTAAAGAACCAAGCGACATCTAATAAGTACATTAAAATATATTTAAATTATTATATATTTTATATAATTTGTATTAAAACTGGGACTCAAAGTTTAATCTTTAAAAGTTTTGTTTAAAATTCATCAACTTAAATTTAAAATTTTTGGAATTCAATCTTATATTTTAATTGATCCTTTTAATTGACAAACCTTCAAAAAATTTAATAAATTATTAGCTTAATAACTTGTTATACATTTTGAGTTAAATTTTAATTTAGTTTCCATTTCTCAATGAAAACATTGTACAGATGTTTTTCAATATTACTAAACGGCAGGTGGTGGTCACCAACAACAGCACTCTGAGCAACAGCCCCATCCCGCCAGCAAAGCCACTGAATCCGACGCCAAGTACAAGTAATGTGGACTGGACAACGACGAGGAGTTTGGCGGGAACAGGACAGGACAACAGATTGTTTGCTGCAAGTGACAACATTACTTAAAAATAGTAAACGAACAGCAACAATAATTGCAGCAACGCACACTCACAAAATGGAGAAGAGATACAAAACCAATTCATACTTAGCTACAGCTCATGCATGAGATGCATGGTTAACTAGTTTTTATTATTAACTGCAAATAGCGAGAGAAGTTACACAGAGAATATTCTCTAAATATTAAAAAAATTACAAATTTTTAATTACAATAGGCATACAAAATGTGTACAAGCAACATAATTTGTGAGTAGAGAGGAGAAACTGATTACGAATGAATTTATTAAGCAGCTTAATAAATCAGGAGCAACCAATAGGGAGGAGAGATAGAAATTTTGATGAAAATTTGAACTTTTGAAGCACATATGAAGTACATACATAGAAACATACATAATGGAAACATTGTATAATCCCCGCGTAACGGCTTAGGTTTTAATTTACAGGCGAAACTGCAACCAACAAATTGGAAGAGATAAGAAACAACTACGGAAATAGAGGTTAAGCTTTACTTAAATTGCACATTAATTTGAAGTGTATTAAGCACAAGCAAAGAATTGTATAAATCAAACCGTAAGAAAAGTGAAATGAACACAGTAGTTGTATTGTATATTTAGTCATAACATTTTTAACGAGAACAAATCCCCTTAAAACCCCCCATTAACACCCACTCGCACACATCTAAATGCTTTTAAACTGTCTGCCTTTGTTCTCAAAGTTAATGCGAAAACAAACCTTTTTAAATTGTATGTACATTTCTTTTAATTGGCTTTTTACACTGTTGTCTAATTGAATTATAATTTATATATATTTTTTATTATTATTTTAGCATAGCCTGTTTTTAAATTGTACACACACCGAAAAATAAAATTCAAAAAGAAAATAATTGAAAAACTCATTACCAGACGATTGAAAGAAAACAAAAAACAAAAAAGAGAGAGAATGAGAGAACTAACTGTCTTCCACTGTTGCTGCAATATACTATTTAATATTGTTTACCATTTCGATTGAATGAAATTTAGTTTTAAATTAATGTTTTAAGTATGTGACTGCATTTTATTCATATGCAAAATTATGTTCTTTGTGAATTGTTAATTATTATATGTTGTCTCTGATTTTTGTGTTGAATTGTGTGGCTTTTTTAACCCAATCTTTATGTCAAACCCTTTTTCCTTTAATGTCAGTCACAGTTTTGACGTATCTTTTTTGTGTATTCCCTGGAAGGCGCAACAGTTGCAAACTTTTCGAAAAATTAAAAAAAAAGCTATTACAAATAAACACTCAAAATAGACAAAAATAAGCTAGTATCGCAAAAAAATTATAGTAACAATATTCACATTATAGCAATTACGATCATTTAAAATACGCAATAAATCATCAAATACAACATGTGAATTAAATTGAAATGCCGCTTCCATTTAGTTCCATTCTTGCTGGACGCTGCAATTATAGAAATTACAAAAGAACAACAAAATAAATAAATCAAGAAATTTGTAAAATTTAAAATCAACTCACGTAGTCGTTTATAATTTTTTTTAATTTCGTGTTTACAAATAATTTAATTATAGTTTCTTTATTATTAGTTTTAATTACCTATTAGTTATTCGTATTAATTAGTGAACAAACGAAATTTTATAAGATTAAAGCGAAAGAGCGTAAACTGTAGTGTGTTAATGTTAAAAAATACAAAATAAAAACAAAAATAAAACCAAGTTTATAAGCAAATTTGAATCAACGTGTGAACTTAATTGTAGCAAGGACACACTAAAATTTTCTTTTATTTCCACCACCTCCAGAACTTCTCCCCTTAGCAAGCAAACTTGTGCCAATGACAAAGCTTATCTAACAATATTGAAATATCGAACCCCCAATGAAGCTAAGAGAAATATGTTTGTCAATTAGGTCAAGTGAAGACAAAATACAAACCTTTTGACGCGTACCAAGTTCGAAAACTTATACAAAATATCTAACTGATACAACAATATACATTTTTGGCAACCAACATTTCGGACTAAGAAAATTATGCACAGAAAACAAAAAGGGAAACTAACAGGAAATACTAAAGAACCTTTGGCAATTACAAGAATGAGAACAAAAAGGAAACAAACTCAGTCAGTCAAACACACAACAAAAAATGGCGTTTCGGATACAAAATTCTAAAATTCAGGTATTACAAACATAATAAAATACAGATAGTGTTGTATAATGTTAATAACAATTTTTGAACAAAGTAAAAACAAAAGATGAACTATTTAGCTATTTATACAAGCAAGGCAAGTGAGTAAACTTTGCGCATACGTGTAAAATTTATAAGGTGCTTTTATAACAAAATATTTGGTAGAGAAGCGAAGATCAGAGAAGGGCCTCCTTTCCCACATCAAGATATACATAAATATACATATATTTTTGTCAAAAGGCATCCACTGTATTTTAAAATGCTTTTAAACGGAGGAGATTTAGAAACGAAACCCCAGAAAGGGTACAAAACTCTTGTAATTCAGTTGTGAGCGATTCGCACATTTTGACGATAAAGAAGCGTGAGTTTTTTATAGTTTTTAATCGAGGAGGGCATTTTAAATCGTAGCTGACCTCTCCTCAAAACATAGAGCTAAATATATATCTACATTAATCTGATTGATGACATCTCTAGTGGCAATCGAGGTTACACACTGTTGTTTGCGGTTTGTTTAGTTAATTGTTAAAAGATAAACGAAAACCAAGAAATATTCTTAAGTCAATGATTGATGGCACAATTCTGAAGTTACAACGCGGTATTTGAGTTCGTAGTGAAATTTCCCGATTTATCATTTGCGATTGACTTTTGAAGGCTTTGTAAAATATTAACAAATGAATACATATATATATACAACTTATTTGTGAAGTTAACTAATAAGCCAGTTATTGTGAAACGTATTTTCTAAGCCACGGAACACTTAAGACAAATTACGAATATTAAAATACAATATACAAATACGAACATATACAGGATAGCGTAAAACAGATACAAGAACAGATTATTTAAATATTGAAATGTGCAAATCTCATCCGATCGTTAGGAACACGTCTGAGACAGGGGCTTTCGGAGGAAAGTATTTAATTAGTAGATCCGCCTGAGGAGAATCGAGTGCGTGGCCCTTGTCCTCAAAGACAAACGGTCCTCATCAACAATCCAAACACACAAACACTCGAAACACACACATATATATGTATAAATAAATATATACGATGGTAAATTTATTGAATAAAAGAAAAATATACATTCATAAACTTTGGTGTATTGACTATTTTATCAGACTTAAATTTTAAATTAACGTGGGAAGCACTTTCTATTTTCTATTTTGCAATATTAAAACCAAATGGGTAGGATCAGCGTTTTTATGACATCAAACCTATGAATTAATAATTTGGAAAATAGAAGAGGAATCTTAAATTGTAATAAATAATTTATTGAGATTAACTAAATTGTCCGGATGGCCACAACGAATATTAAAGCATTTAAACCGATTCGGCCACCTCAACTGGCAGTTCGTGTAAAATACTTCTGGCAGAGGAAAGAACACTGATATCAGCGCAGTTTATAAAGGTTTCCTGGGCACCACAGCCCATGGCACCCGACCCGTCCTCACAAACTCCCCAATTATTTCCTGCAGTGTAGGTCCAGCGCAGAACGCAGTGGATGCAGTTGAGATCGGTGGGCAGTTGAACGGTTACTGGAATGTCGCCAGTGGTGGAGTTGATATTGTATTTTAGACTTCCGTCGTCAAATTTCAGAGGATACTGATCGAAGCAGTTCTCCGACTCGCTGCCATTTTCATCCAGGTTGCAGATGTGAAAACGGAAGTAACCCAGATGATTGGCTGTGATCTTGACATTAATTTCCGCCTCAGTAACCCCGGTATAGCTTTTTACTATCACACCACTGCCATATTTTCCACCCAACTCATTGGGTCGTGGCTGCTCCAAGCTCCAATCGTCGCCGCAAAGACCACAATTGCCACCATTTTCGGTTTGTTTCTGAAGAATGGTAAAACGCATTTGATAAACTACTTAAGATAGTTTTCTAAGGGTTTATCTAAGGGTTTATCTTACCCATAAGCCACCACAGTATAGCGCATTATCATCGTAATTTGTTGGAGCTGAAGAATCGTAACGCCAGCGTGAAGATCTTCCGGCAGGACTTAACATCATGCCATGGGCCGCCAGTTCGCCCATCAAGCAGAAAATGCTCAAACCAATAATTAGGATTCCCCCGAAGAATTTCATTTCGCTTTCACTTTCACTTTGGTTTTCGGCAACATGATCGAAGGCTTATATAGTTTCATGTTCCCAAACCTTATCAGTAGCCTTGTTAAGTTTGTTTTTGATTTTTCGACATATAACCGTGAATTTCTATTATCGCCTCATAATCTTCATTTTGTTTATGGTTATGGGTAGTTAAAATTTGGGAGAATTCGTAGTATCTGGCCTGGGAACTGGCAAAACACCTATGACACATATAAACAGATTGCCAAATATTGGCAATTGAATCACTCTAATTTCAAAGACCTGTTTATTGTTCCATTGGTGGTTATCCCACCAATGCCACCAATTTGATAAGAGTTCATTGTTTAGGAATTACTTCGAATTTGTTAGCCAAGGTTGAAAAAGCTGACTCTAGTGGAAAAGTTATGAGTCGGAAGAGGGTTGTAAAATATTTTACTTAACAAAATTATCTGTGGTTATCTTCTATAAAGTAGATTATTTTATTTTGCAATTTTATGTTATGTGCGTTGTTTTAGTAGTGTTCCCTGGCCCCCTAAATTGTGTTTCTCGGCTGAGTGTTGTTATCCTTCCAAAAGAGTTTCACTATTTCACCATTGGATGATATTAGCAAAAGTTTGTGTGACCCATTTTCTTTAGTGTTATCTTTAAAGAATATCCGTTGTCCTATAAAATCTTCAAAATTTGATAATCTTTTCTGCTAGACATTTGGATAAAGAAATACATTTTACGCAATAAATGTATGTAATGTCAAATGCTGTGTTTTATAAAATATACTATCTTCAAATAATTGCATAGTTTTAGGCTGTTATGAAGTTCCGGTCTTTGTTCCAAAAAGTTTTAAAAAGAGTTATAAATGTTATCTCTTTTTTTAAACAATTTATAACGTTATAAAGGCTAAACAAATTTAAATTCAAAACCTTTAAAATTCACGTAATAAACAGAATGATAACCTACTTTATTTAATCTAGGAAATATTGATGCTTATCAATATCAAGCTCCAAAATCAATTGGATTAACGATTTTTAACCACTCACTAATCATCCAAACAAGTACTGACTCGAATAATAATTAAAATGTTCAGTTCTTTATTTAACATTGGCTGACTATTTGGCTTTAAGTTCTTTCAGACTTTTAGGGCAGTTCGTATTGTCATTGAATTTTTAAACGACCTCAACGGGAGCCACGGGCTCGCCGCCACTGACCAACTCCTTGAGCAGATTGCGACCCCAGTTGATGCTCACATCGGCGCAGTTCTTGAAGGTTTCCTGGGGACCACAGCCCAAAGCTCCGTAGCCAGATTCATCGCAGACACCCCAGTTGTTGGCTGGAATATTAGTGGAATTCAGTTAACTTACAAGTAATTACCATGGTTGTCTTATCAAGTACTTACCACCCACATAGGTCCATCGGAGAACGCAGTGATTGCAGGTGAGACCCTCTGGCAGAATACAGGTCACATCGAATTCACCGCTCTGCGTTCCAATCTGCAGTCTATCGCTGCCGTCGGGGAATCGCAGGCGGTTCTGCTCGAAGCACTCCTCCGATTCGCCACCATAGGCATCCAGGTTGCACAGATGGAACTCAAAGTATCCCAAGTGGTTGGTGGTGATCTTCACGCCCACGGTGATGGCATTGCCAGCCACGTAGCTCCTGGTGATCACGCCGGATCCTCCGATGCTGCCTCCGATCTCGTTGGCACGGGGCTGACCATCCGAGAAGTTGTCGCCGCACAGACCACATCGACCTCCGTTGTTGGATTGGGTCTACAGAGTTTCGGTTTGATGTTTTAGTATTACATATGTTGGATATCATTTGTTACCAAAATGACTTCATTTAATTATGTTTAGGTCGGGTGCAACGGAGATTTGTGGTAAACTTAAAATGTAAATGATGTCGACTGTTTCCGAAATTAAGGAGTATTAAAATTTTTTTGTTTCGAAAATTGGTTTCTAACAAAATGTTGACCATATTTCTAGTGTATGTAAATCGGCATCCCCATAAAAATTAATCCTTTAATCCTAAAAAGTTGGCCAATTACTAATGAGCACTTTGATGCCAGTTGAGTAACTTCTAATTAAATCCTTTTGCTTGAGATAGAATAACCGCACCTACATTTTGCACTTCTAGGTCTGTGTAAAAAAGAAATCCTAGTTATTATATTTTTTTTTTTTTTTTTTTTCATTGTCTTCTGTGCGTTTGCAGAGTTCCAATGAATCGTTCACGCTCTGGAGATTAATATTTAGGAACGTGGCTCCAATACAGTTTTTAAATCCCTGCCAGGCTTTACTCCCATTTGGCAGATCCTTCACTCACATACAACCCGCCGCAGAAGAGCTCATTGTCGTTCCAGTTTTGGGGAGCGGATCCGTCGTAACGCCAGCGGGAGGATCGACTTGGTGGGGAAAGCATCATTCCGTGGGCGTCGATCTGCTGCAGACCAATGGCCAAGAGCAGGGTCAAGCTGAGCAGGTACTTCATGGTGTGTATTTGGCTTTCACTTTCACAATGCCTCACGCACGGACGCACCAGGTTTTATATGTGCTCCTTCGGCACTTATCAATCCGATTTGAATCAAGAGTTTTACAGTAGCTCTCATGGCGATAACAAGCCAAGATAACACTCAGTATACAAAATAACAATTGCAGTTCCTCGTCCCGGTCAAAATCCGCAGAAACAACACTCCAGATATGAACAGGGATAAGCATCTTCGATTGGCATATTGAAATATTCATAAAAATGTCAACCGCTTAGAATGCCGCATACAGGTGGAGAAAAATAGATATTGCTAATTTCATAATCTTAAGTACTTTTATTGGATTAACTGATCTCAAGTGCTGCTCATTGATTGTTTGTTTTGGGTTAACGTCTTATCAGTCGATGATTATTATATTAACTCGCTATGTCGGTTTCCGTAGCAAATTAAAATTTCTCAATGATGATGCAAGAATGGTTGAAAGGTGTGTTAAATACAACAATATATTTTTTACCTTTTCCCACTATTCACTTTATCTCTAAAAAAAAATTGAGTTTTTCAGAATTAAGCATTTATGTCGACGACGGTAACGTAAAAATAAACTATAAATATCCTATGGTTATACTTGCCGATGAACAATTGTGAATTCAAAATTACCAAATAATCTCTTATTAGCTTCAAAAAGGAAAAAGCAATTCATGCGGCTAAAATCTCAAAATATCCTTAAAAGTTTTACCAACACCGTTTGCTGTTCTGTTTTATCATTTGAATTACACATTTTTTTACCTTTTTTTATCCTTGCAGACATCACAAATGTCTAGCAAAATGCGTAACTGCTAATCAATATTGAAGTAATGGCGATTTTTTTAAGAAGCTAGAACAGCAGGCATTAGTAGGTGGTCGCGAAACATTTTTATTTTAATATTCTTATTCAAAGTACTTTATATAAAAAGTACTTACATACATAATAAAAAATTCAGAGGTATGCCGCTTCAAAATCAGATTGAAATTTAGAAGAGTATGGACTTAGAAATATTAAATTTTGATCAATTTTCAACAAACCCATTATTTAAAAATTGTGAAAAAATTAAAAATTGGAACTAATGTTTATTAGAGGACTAGAACAATAATTTACCATACTTTCGACGATTTTTCATATGACTTTCATACGATATCTTCGTTCGATTTTTATGAAATTTTGTTGGCAATTCTAAGAGACTAGTTTACATAAAGACGGACAGACGGGCAGACGTAGAGACGTACAGACGAATTTCGATTCAGATCGTGATGCTAATCAAGAATATATAACTTTATGGGGTCTAAGGTGTCTCCTTCACTGCGTTGCAAATTTCTAACTGAAATTATAAAAAAAAGGGTATGATAAATATAATGAAAAAACTTACATAATTTGATCTTATAACCAACAATTAATTATTAATTTATGTGTGCTTTCGACCACAAAATGGTTTTTAGAAACAATTGGTTCACCCTAATAAAAGCTCTTTATGTTTACTGTAGAAAGTGCTTACTGATAAAGTTTGAAATTGCAGTTTCGGTTACTTTGCGTAGCCCTGGCTAAGCTGCGATGTGGCCCTGGTAAACCAGGGCTAAGCAACGAAACAGCTGACTCCGCGCTTGTAATCCTCCCCCAAAACAAAGCAAAAAACAGAAAATAACACGAAAGCTTGTTTCGCCTTTTCACTTCCAGCGTCTTCGGCCGCGTCATGAAAATAATACTCGCCGCCTGTTCGATGGGTGGACGGTCGGTTGGGGGAGGGTGGTGACGTCGCCAGCGCTGGTGGATGAGCTCATACGAAAGCGAAAAGAAACAAGTTTAGCTTTTTGGAATACGGACGACTGCAGCCTCAGTTCATTCGAACGCCGAACGCCAGCGACGCCGGACCGTTAAAACGAGAGAGCAAGAGAGCCGCGAAACAAAAAACGAAAACCGAAAAGTGTGTGACAAACGTGTGCGAGTGTGTGTGTTAGAATTGTACTAGTTCTGGCTCTAGTATTCGTATTATTGCTAGTAGCAGCACCTTTCTCTGCCACTAATTGGTAGCAACAAAAGAAAATCTTTAAAGAGCGCGTTACGTGGCTTACTTTTTTGTGCTGACCAGCTCAGCTGCTGAAAACGCTTCTAATCACACGCACCCAGCCACACGACAGCTTTAAATTTAGTTTCCAAATTTTACATTCCCCCCCTTTTTTCCTGTCAAAAGAAGCTATCTATAAAGTCTTTGCAAAAAGCCCAAAATTGTTGTGCAAAAAAGCGAGGAAGGCTGAGACTCTTGAGCGGCTAAAACAAAATCAATAATTGGCCCTGCGTCCAGCGCTATATGTGTGTGTGTGTGCGTGTGAGAGGGGGAGTGTGTACGTGTATTTGTGAGAACGACAATTGGAGCAATGCCTGCTGATTGATACGAAAAAAAGGGGGAAACCAATTACAAAAGAACCACAGAAGCGAAGGATTATAATAACTATTTTGTGCAATAATTAAGTGATCAAAACCATGCAACCCGCAACGCCCGGAACGCCTGTTAATAATGCTCCCTCGACGACTAATTCATCGGCCACCCCTGCCGCTCCCGCCGCCCCTGCTGGCGGGGGGGTTAGCAGCACTCCAATACGCATAAACAGTGCCAAGCAGCACGGGGCGGGGGGCGGTGACTCGCTGGCCCCCTCCACCCCGCACTCCCATTCGATGCCTGGAACGCCGCAACAACAATCGAGCAGTGTGCCCACGGGAAGTCAACTGCTGCATCTCCAGGCGCCGCTGCCCTCGGCTGGGGGAGGCGGGGGAGGATCAGTGACCCCCTCTGGCCTGTCCATGGGCGCCTCGAATCAATCGCTGGGCGTTAGTGTTGGCGCCGCCAGCAGCGTCAGTGGTATCAGCATAACGCCGCCGAATAGCGCCGGATTGCGTCAGTCGACAGGTGAGTTTAGCCTCCCTTAAAAAACAACAAACCCCGTTTACTCGCCCCTCTCTGTTGATGTCGTGTTCTCCCTGTCTCTTCCACTCAATGTCACTCTCACGCTCTGTCCCGTTCTCTCACTATATTCGATTCGATCGGTCACATTTTAAAATCGAATCTAATGCAAAATGATTATCACAGAAGCACACATTCACACGATTGCGGTCAAAAAAATAGCACAAAAGAAGCCATTCATAAAAGAGGTTGAAATGAGTACACTTCACTGGTTAACCAGTAAAGCTTTTCCTAAAGAATTTTAACCCTATATGGTTTGCAACATGATAAATCAAAAGTTTTTTTTACTTTTAATAAAGAGCACAACATAGCATTTTACATGGTTTTATAATTTTGATAAACTTATTAAAAAATGTACCAAAATTAACAATAATATGTATGTACTTCCGGTTTTTAATACTTTCTTTTAAATTAAAACAAACTTATTCTACTATAAATGTATCAACCGCATAACCTAATACAAAACAAAGTATTTTACAATTTATAACAAAATACACTCATATTCATATTATCTAATCTTAACTCCTAACAACTTTTGCATCAATCAACAATTACAAGAACAATTAATTTATTGACACATTTTCTTCAGTTTAGGAAAAATAAATAAAATTTCTCATTTTGTAGAATTGATTAGCTGTCCATAAGTATAAAATAGTCAAGTATCAAATTAGCTGATAACACATTCCGATAAAGGCCTTATAAAGCTCTTTATTTGACCGCATTTGTACTTACCATCTGATACTCCTTCTAGTTTTCAGTTTTAATTCTCGTTTCCGTATGCTGTGTGCTTTGCTTGTTTTGATTTTGCTGCTGCTCACATTTCAGAGAATTCCTGCTCATTCATCAGCTGCTCGCCGGCTAATCCGACCCCCGATCCATCCGTAATCCCACTCCATCCCAGGGGCCACGTTATCGCTCAACACTCGGCTTTTGTTCGTCATTTAGCGCGCTTCCGCTCTGCGGGCCCATTCATCCAAGCGAGATATAGTCGCTGGTGTTAATTGATTTACATACCAGTTGTTTGACTTTTTCGCCAGACTGGTTGGGTTGCTAGGCTACTTGTTAGTCCGGATACTTTTATAGTTTTCGGGGGGTTATTGGGGCTTTGGTTAACAACTGGCGCTTGCCATTTGCACCTGTGCGGAAACCCATGTCCAAGGCTTGTCATTTTCCATGTGTTTACAGCTGGTTCCATGGCAATAAACCCATCCGACGGTGTCCATCTGCCAGTTTGTATCAATTAACAGCGCAATTAAGTTCTTTCTGCATATTAGACAAGTAATTGAGCTAACCCGCATTCAAATGTGTTTAAATGAAAATGAACAGTCATTTCCCCGCAACTAAGCAAACGGATAAGAAACAAATTATTGCAAATTGAGTCACTATTTTTTTTTTTTTTTTTGTTATTTCATAGTCAAGCTTCCTGATTTGACTTTCTGGGAACTTTTATCAACCATTCAGAGTAGCGACATCACATTTATTAGCTTTTGTTTATCTAAAAATTGAGAAACGATTAAAACGGCTTCCCATGGCCGTTTTCTTTATTTTTGGGAATTGTGTATAAATCACAAAAGACCATATGGGACGTTCCTCTGTCAGTAAATATAATATAATGCTTTTAATGTTGATTAAATTAAGTTTACTCGCTCAGAGATGAGATCATATGTTTCTCCACCAAAACTTTTGCTAACTTTTAGTATATTTTTTGAACGCTTAGATTTCTTTACCAAGATTTTTATTTTATATTTATATATAAGATTTGTTTAGCTTTAGAAAAGGATAGTGGATGGATAATAAAAATGACAAGAGAAAATCAGATACCAACAGTTGTAGTTATCTTAGTCATTTTTATTGATTTATATATTTTTAAGGTATGAGTTAGTCTATGGTTTCAGTAATTAAAAAACTTCTACATTATTCGTAAAACAAAAAAACATTGGTATATTAATTATTTAGTTAACTCACTGCCAGCAAACATTTGTTTGGGTTCTCAATTCCATATTTTAGTAGACTTATCGATTAGCTTTAACTTTCCATTTTATGGACCTGGTTCGTGGGGCAGTGGGTGGTTGAAGTTCAGGATGGCTAGGTGGTTACCAGGTAACCAATATCGGTCTACGGGATTTTGCACACGCACCATTTGCTTCGATGTCGTTGTGGTTTTTGTTGCTGTTTTTTATTATTTGCTTTATGGCATGCAACTGTCATTAAATTTTTTATTTGCATGCTGTATTTCTTTATAGCTCAGATATATATCCATAACTGAACACTATCTCCATACATATATAAAGAGCAGTAAATTGGGGTGAACCGTAAGTGTTAAAGCATGAAAAGTCAAGGTTAAGCTTTAGATTTTGAAGTTTATAAGTCATTAAACGGTCATTTAAAAAGGATTGCTATTATTGTTAGTAAATAACCCTTTCTGGCTGTTTAAAAATTAAAACTCTCTTGCCCTTAGTATTTATACTATTTGAACCCCCAATTGCAAGTACACCTAGGGCTCACCCTACTGCACCCTATATCGTATATATATACGCAATTAGCTGACACAAGCACTCACACTCTTACTCACTTTCCATCCGAATGCGACTTTATAATTACCATTGTAGTCGCCTCGTCTTTTGCTGTTTATTTTTCTGCCCCAGGCGGTTTGGCACAGTGGGTGCGAATAAACAGTGCCCGCATGGAAATCTATGCGGAAAACTGCATGTCATAAACGTTCTGAATAGCGTACACCTTTTTTTTTTTTTTTTTTTTTTTTTTTTTTTGGAGGAGGTTAAAATCCAATGCCTGAAGACACCGTCAAAAGTGCCGTCGCACTAATGGTGTGTGGGGCTTGCACCCACTAACCTATAACAATCCTCCTCCCCTGGCTGAATTCCACCCCGGAACCGAGTAAACATTACTACGGGGTGGAGCCGTTTTGTGCTGTTAGCACGCCTGGTCCCCGCGTCCGGGTCCCCTGTCCTTGGCGTATGGAGACGATACGCATCGATAGTTCCACATGAGTGGAACGTCGGAAGCGATTTTGCCTGGGATCAAGCGCAATCGATTTGTCTTCTGTCTGGTTCTGTTATGAGCTATGAACTCAGGCGTCTGTTAACGTCGTCAGTTCTGGTGTCCTCCTTTGTTCCCGCTCCAGTTCTTGGAGCCTTGTCATCACAGAGTATGCGAACGCTGTCATTGCCTTCCATTTATCTCTGGAAGAGCACATATCGTGCGTGATAATTTCAGCAGATGGAGAGTGCCCAAGTACTGCCTCCAGTGTTCGTCGTTCTTCTTCGAAGCGATCGCAGTGGAAAGCAACATGTTCTGCGCTTTCGATTTCGTTGGGGCAGTTGGGACAAAATGGACTGTCTGCTAGCCGAAAACGATGAAGGTATCCGCGGAAACAGCCGTGACCGCTGATGATCTGCGTTGTGTAGTAGTCGACATCGCCGTGTCCACCTTTTATCCACTCACTTATTTGTGGTATAAGTTTATAGGTCCAGCGTCCATCATCCGATTGGTCCCACCGTTGCTGCCATTTTCGTATGGACCGCGCTCTTTCGGCCTCTTTTTGTTCGCGTGTTGGCCTCACTCCTTGCTTGCTGTACAGACGAGACAGCTCCTCTGCCAGCAGGTCGACTGGTGGCTTTCCCGCGATGACACAGATTGCATCGTTTGATACCGTTCTGTATGCGCAGCCTATTCGTAGAGCACTTTGTCTGTATATCTGTGTTATCCCTCGCAGATGGGACTTTTTGGCTCCTGCCCAGATCGGTGCTGCGTACATAGTGATGGAGTCTGCAACCGTTGACAATAATGCCCTTCGTTGCCCTTGGGGTCCTCCTACGTTGGGAAGTATTCTTGTCAAGGCTCTCGTGACCGCTGATGCCTTACCGCTTACTCCCACTAGGTGCTGCTTGAAGCTTAATCTCGTGTCGATCAGAACTCCAAGATATTTAATGGCTTCTTGGGAAACTATTTCATGACCATCAATAGCAATTATCATTTTCTCCTTTTTTCTGCGTGCACTTATCAGTACTGCTTCCGTCTTCTGTGCTGCTAGCTCTAACCCAGCGTTCCTGAGCCATCTTTGTATCCGTGATGCGGCGTCCGTGCATTTCGCCTCTAACAGGTCCAGCCTTTTGTCCACTACTACAAGCGCAATGTCGTCTGCATATCCCACGATGTTCGCCTTGTCCGGGAGTTTCAGCCTCAGTACCCCGTCGTACATAGCATTCCACAACGTTGGTCCGAGGACAGATCCTTGTGGTACACCACCTGTTACTCTATAAGTTTTTGAGCCGGTGTCCGTTTCATATTGTAGTATGCGGTCACGGAAATAGCTTCGTATAATGCGGAGTAGATAGCTCGGTACTCTCAGGTTTCTAAGCGATAGCAGAATCCTGGACCAGTTAGCCGAATTGAACGCATTCTTTACGTCGAGTGTGATAACTGCACAGTAACTCATATGCCGGTGTCCTCCACTTATGGCATTCTGTGCGATGTCTGTCACTGTCCTGATAGCATCCACCGTTGACCTTGCTCGTCGAAAGCCAAACTGGGTATTTGAGAGCCCAGTAGGGCATTCTAAATACTCCTGCAGGCGATCGCAGATCACGCGTTCAAAAACTTTACCAACTGTATCCAACATACACAACGGTCTGTAGGAAGATGGTTGGTCGGGTTGCTTGCCGGGTTTCAGCAACAGCACCAGTCGCTGAAGTTTCCACCGAGATGGGAAAGTTCCTTCTGTAAGGCATGTGCTGTAGATATGCGCGAAGATGTGTGGCGTTTCCATTACCGCTGCTTTGAATACCATGTTTGGGACTCCGTCTGGTCCAGGGGCTTTGTTGTCTTTGATGCGGCGCAGAGTGCTTAGCACCTCTTCCATTGTAACCGGCGGCACATCGCCTGGCTCGATCGTTGGCAAAGCTTCGACACTTGTTTCCTCCTGTGGTGGGAAGAGTGTAAGTACCGCTTTTTCTAGCAGTATTGGACACTTCGGCTGTGGTGCTGAGGGTCCTTTCACCTTTCGCATGACAGTTTGGTATGCCATACCCCAGGGTTCGACGTCAGCTCTGTCCCGCATTTCTCTAAAGCAGCGATTTTTGCTCCGCACAATTGCTTTTTTTAGCTCCCATTTCCGCTCACGGTATACGCCATGTAGTTCTGCAAAGGTCGGTCGAAGTGTTGCGCGTTTTGCTCTCCGTCGCGCCTTGATGCAAGCTTTGCGTAAATCGGCTATCTCGCTTGTCCACCAGTATGCCGGTTTCCGTTTTCCACCGTACCTCCCTCGCGTCATTGATGCGTTGCAGGCTGCTTCCATTTTGTGAGCAATTTCTTCTGCAATAGCTTCCGCTGTGGTACCTTGTAGGTGTGTACCCTGCCACGCTAGCTTGAATGCCTCCAAATTAAAGGAAGATTTTTTCCATTTCGGTCGTGTCGCTCTGCACTCTGCTTGCGGTGCTCCCCTACTTAGCTCCATAATTATAGCTTTGTGATCGCTATGAGTATGGATTGAGTCTTCCACCTTCCAGGTTGCTCGATTTGCGGTCGCTCGATCTGCGAAGGCTAGGTCGATTATCGATCTTCCTCTGGCGCATTCGAAAGTGTGGACTCCTGGCGCATTCAGTAAAACAAGGTCCAACGCTGCAGCAGTTTCCTCTACTAGACGACCTCTTGCATTTGTAAAGTCGCTGCCCCAGGTTCTTGACCAGGCGTTGAAGTCTCCTGTAAGCAAAATCGGCCTCTTTCCTCTTAGCTCCAGCTCCAAAGAAGTCATCATGCTTGTGAATTCTTCTACAGACCACCTTGGGGGCGCGTAACAGCTTACATAGTAGAGGCCGTCTAGTTTGGCCCATACAAATCCGCCGCCGGTTGTCATCTTCTGCTGGAACGTTTTGTTTCCCGTAATCCAGATTGCCGCCTGCTTCACAGTATCTGTAATCCAGCGGTGTGATTCGATATCTTTGTACGGCTCCGTTAGTAAGGCTATGTCGATTTTATGCTCCGCTGTTGTTTGCCATAGTAGATCCTGTGCAGTTCTGCAGTGGTTGGTGTTCAGTTGTAGCACCCTCATATTCTTATTTTACGGACTGCCTCCTGGTATTTTGGACATTTCGCGCTGCCTGCTGCATGTGTCCCTTTACATAACGCGCATTTTTCCTCGTTTGTGCATCTCGCTGCTTGGTGTCCTTCGGTGCCGCAGCGTCTGCAAAGCTTTGTGCGGTCCGGTTCTTTACACGCGTTTGCCACATGGTCGTATGCCCAGCATTTGTAACACCTTTTTGGTGTTTTGACCTCGGTTATCCGGCATCGGATCCATCCAACCATTATGTGGCCGAGGTCTAGGATCTTCTTCGCGACCTCCGCCTGCAGCGATACGTAAACGGATTGCGTGCCGCCGTATGTGTCGCGCCTGCTTTTGATGGACGATATGTCCGGTCGTTTCACTTGAGCCAGTTTCGCAATCGCCTCAAGAAGTTCCTCGTCTGTGCTGAGCTCGGGAATGAGTCCCCTACACTGGACAGTGACAGTGTGAGTCCTGACATTTACCGTTGCCATTTTCTCCAACGCTTTTTCTATTGCCGAGTGGTAAGAAGCGTACACCTGCCAAATAGGTAAACACCCCCTCTTCCCATTCAAACGTCCCGCTTTCAATATCTGCGGCCGATGGAAATGTTCGTAGGTGCAAAAAGGGAAATTGCGTACAAAAAAAATAGAGAAAAATCGATGCATGACTGCATTTTGCAAGCGGTCTTTATTTCTGGGCTAGTCAAAGCTTAATGAATTGCTTTCCACGTACAATGTGGTGCACGAATTTATGATTTGTGTCAGTCGGAAAGTTGTTGTTTATATTTAGTATTTGAATTCCATGAATTATTAGTTGCATTTGTACATTTAAGTACTACCCTTAAATTAAATTACCCTTTATGATTAAAACCAGTTGGATGCCAATGCAACGAGTTTTTTAATAAGCTGGTTGAAAAGTTAAAATGTGGATTCAGTTTTCGGTCAGGTTTTCACCACCATTGTTAACGGGCAGGTTGTAAAAGAACCTTCATAGTTAAGGGAGAATGGTAGGTAGTGGGTCAGTTGGTGGATTCCACCCTTTTTTCCGCCAGTTTTTGTGCCTTGTTCTATTTTTGTTTTCGCTGAAAATTGTTTCGCTCTCCAAAAGGTCAAAAGTGATATAAAGAATGCAGAAGAGAGATGCAGCTTACACCGAGAACCAAGATTGTTTAAATTATTTTTGTTATATTTAATACTAAATTTCATTTACAAATTACATTTTTAAATTACATTTTTGAATACCTTGAAAATATATAAAGTAGGAATTAGAAGTGAAAATAAATAGTTTTCGTTTTTGGTCCGTGTTTAAGGGGGGAAATCAGCCAACTAATGCTATTTACATCTGCATTTGCATACTAAACGAGTCACTTGGTTGTGTGCGTTACTCTTTGTAAGTGTGCGAAGGTGTGTGTGTCTTTCGATGAATATTTTATAGCATGCTTTTGGGCAAATTACTGGCCAATAAATAAAACATCAGAGCAAGGGCTTAAACTGCGAATGGTAGGAGTTGAGTGTTATTTTGTGTTAGCCCCCCACTGATCCCGGGCACTTCTTGAGTGAAGTTTCTAGTTGATGTCTCTATAGTCGCTATAAAATATAGTGACCACCGACCTCACACCATTAAGTGTTTCTCCAGTGACCCCCAAAAAACACACGCTCGAGCAGAAAGCCAGCTAAATAGTAATTGGATTACGTAAAATAGAAGCAACAAAATATGTTTGTATGGCGGGGTCGAAGTGGTTGGGGGTCATTTAGAGCGGCGCCATTTCAGCGGCCAAAACTGACGTCATTTCGGGCCAAGCCCAGCGGGTAACTCAAAATTGCACTCTCTGTGCAACGATGTCTTGCATCAGCTGGCATCCTTTGACCGGGAATTTACTGAGCTGCCACACGCAAAGGGGAGAGCTAGGGGAGCCCGTCGTAATTCTCCACGGAATGACAAGACACTGAGAAAAATATTTCAAATACTTTCTTTTTCGTTTTAGTAAACTGCTTAAGTTATTAGCTACAGGCAAAGAGCTACTTTGAATTATGCAATTGTAATAAATAATTTGTATTTCAAAGTACTAAATGAGAATGTTTATTTTTTGATTTCTTTTTTTTTTTATACCGTTTAATAACATTATATTAACAAAAATTATAACCAAATAATGTGCATATCATAAAAAGGTGACTTATATAACTATTTCTATACACACATCCCCTTTAATGTATATTCCAAGTGTAAATTGTAATTGTTGTTGTGTTTATTTCTCTATGTTCATGCCAAATATGTGGGCAACGACTTCGATCTGAACTCTGAACTATTCGAACAACGGAGGCGTGTTCTAATTGCGTAAATTGATTGCCTGCAAGGCGTTGGCGCTTTATTTAAAATCAATCAGGGCACTGTATTGTCTCTGCCGTTTTATCGCCATTCGCATCTGCATCGCCATCGCAATCTTAATTACCACCAGCCAGGCAGGCGCCTTCGTGGCGCTAAAGCTGCGTGCTGAGCTCCCATGTTCGATAGCAGACAATTGATGAGCGGCCATAATTAAGGCCGTAATGGTAATAGATGTGCTCGGAGGCGTTGTCTCGGCGTTTTCTTACGCTTGATTGGATCAAGTGGCTTAGGGCCAAGTCCTGTCAAGGATTCCGCACTCCAAACAGTATTAAATTGAACTGGAGGAAAAGACTTAATCTATATTCAAGAGCTCTATTGCTTCTTCAACATAAAAAAGTATCTTAACTTTAAATATAGAATCCTCCCCTTGTTAAATCAAATTTATTTCGGTAATCTTCCGATTGTTTAACGGTTTTGTGTTTTCAATGTTTTTTATTTATGTTCCTGATTTGACAATAAATTTTCGCTGTGTAGAAATGACATTCTTTGTGTTTCGTGTTGTAAATATCCCTAAGTTTTCTTTGGTTATGTCCTGGTTAGAATTTCATTTGTACACTTTATCGGTGTCGTCTATGTGTCGTGTGTAATCCTAAAACTGTCCGTACCAGTGACCTAAAATCTATAAGCCTATAATCCTATATAAAATATATACCAATATACATATTGCTCGCTTTCTCTTTCTCCCCCGTATATATATGTATGTGTGCTGCTAACCGCTCCTCAGTATTCGATTTCAAATTCAAACGGCGACCTTCGCTAAAAGTGCTCATGACCAAACTTCCGTCCACGGACAGTTTGAGTAACAGTCCGGCGCCGTCATCGCCAGGTGAAGTTCCAAAAAAAACTAAATCAAAATTCCAGCACTGTTGTACGAATGTAGATCATCACTTATAATTTTATTTGATCATTTACATCATTTATGATCCTTAAATTAGAAACATTACTTTCCTTTACTGTCATTGATCGCTTAAAACCATTTGAATTCTTTAATCATGTTATAGATCATGAAACATATCCCAGCCACAATTGAACACAATCAATTTATTCATATTACTTTGATCTTCGTTTCGAGAGATTGAGGGTTAAAGTTGCTTTGATCTTTTTGATCATCTAGTTATTCAAAATTTATTTAGCTTTGCTTCCAAAAATTGAATCCGCATGGTAGAAATTATTTTCATCGCCTGATCCGCACACAAAATGTAAAATTATAGATCGTCCAGTGCGATCAATTATTGGGTTATACAATATCCGCAGCACTTCACCACCCGACATGACCAATAAAAAACTATTTTGACTGACTCGATCGCCACGATTCATTCATCATTCCCGATCTTAAAGCTGGGAATTCAATCAGCACGTTCGTATTGTTCATAATTATCACCTGATCCCACACCAAATGGAACCTGGCTAAAGGCGCATTTGTATGCATTCTCCCATGTGGTAATCCGCTCCACCCAAGAAACCCCCTTGCCAACCCAGCCATGCGTTCCAATTTTGGGTGACGCATTTCGCCTTTTATTTTTGTTTAGAGCTTTTGTTGCGCTTTTTGTGCTATTGTTTTTGGCGCATTATCATCAAACGATTTTGCGATTGTTCGGTGCGACTGCCACTCAACTTTTACTCATTGTGGCTGGGGTCCCTGGATAAATGCTGGCCATGGCAATCATATCTTATCATCGCAGTTATGACACTCATGAGAGTTTTACAGCCTGAAAGTTTTGCACGTTGATAAGACCAATTAGACCATATATTTATCGGCCAACACTAATCGGTTTGTTAATAATTGAATAGTCAAACATTTCCCATGGAAGTTTTAGAGAACTCGGTTGACTCATCTATGTTGTCCCTGTTTTCTTGGTCCCGAGCTTTTTTGAGTATGACAAACCATTACACGCAGCTGGCAAACTATATTCTTTTATCTATAGAGTTCCACATATCTGATAAGGTGTTCTGATTTCAGCGATGAGTAATGCCCGAAGTTTAGATATCAACACCTGGCTGTCTTTTTTGATCCTCTTCTTTTCATGGCCCACATAAAATCAACAGGTGTGAAGTGCTTTCTATCTATTGTGGGCCTAAATGGTATTGAATGTTGTAATCAAAAGGCTTATCTGAGTGACATAATTATGATGTATTTAATGATATAATGGTTGTGAAAAAACCCCCAAAAATAGAAGAAGGTTTCATAATTCATTTCCTTACTAGTGCCATTAATGTTTTTTATATTTAAAAAACTGCATCGGAAGCTACTTCCTTTTTAATCCGATTCAGAAATTCCATATTGGGATAGGTTGGGATGATCTTATCGCGAGGAAACACAAATAATGCCCCCTATATTAAGACTACTACTTTCAAACATCTCGAAGGTGAGATCATATATCAGTTAGACTTGCTAATAACCCCACAGATATCGTTGGAGAAGGTTTGCCGCTCTCTTGTTTTGTGTGTTTGATTTTGAGAGAGCGCATGCAGCGTTGATATCGTTATCTGGGCAGAAAAAGCACACAAAGTATCTATATATCTACGCATGAGTATAACGAACTTGCCGCTGGCGTCGGCAGAAGCGGCGACTGCGGCAGCAACAGAGATGATCCTCTCATTTTAGATGCTCTAGCCTGGCAAATATGTTCTATATCTTTCGTTTTTTTTTGACAAAAATATGACGAAAGCCAGATAATTGCTGTAGTTGGGTCGGCTGGCCCTCTGCCGCTGCGCTGCCCTGGTGCTTTTGTCAAATTGCCGCTGGTGCTTTTGTTGTGTTTGTGCTTTGTGCGCGCGCGTTTCGGGCAGACTCAATATATCTCAATCAGTCGGCGAGCGGCCAGCGGACGAGCGGCAGGCAAAAAATTGAAAAAAAAAAAACAGAAAAAAGAAAATACAAATAAATAAATAAAATAATCCAAAGCAGAGGTCGGCGTCTCTGAATCGGTTCTCGCATCACGCATACGCCATGTAGTGCCGCCCCGTGAAACGTGAATGAGCGAAACACAACAAAATATGCAAAATAAATAGAATCACAAATTGAAAACGCAGTTTGAAGCGGTGTCTGGTCATGAATCTCCTTCAAAGCAAGTGACAATTATTAAGCCCATAATTCGAAAGAAATTATAATTAATTCTTCTCGTTTTTTTTCTCGCATGTGCGCGGTTTTGCATATTAAGAGACTGGCTCTTTTTGGGAGGCCTTTATTTTTAGCCGAGCAATAAAAATAATTAATAAGAATGCGAAAGACTCAAGAGGGCAGCGGTCGTTTCTTGATTATTAAAGTGCAAGTGCGAGACACTTGACAATGTACGAGAGATCTTGGGATCTCAAGATCTCTAGACCTCAAGACCCAGAGAATCTTACTCGCGATGAGTTCTTGTGTTTGTGGGTGCCCGTGTATCTTGCTAAATAAAATAAAACATATTTGTAAAATAAATAAACCACTGACCCTCGGTTCTCCCTTCTCAAAGATAATCGCACCTTGAAACATTTTTGGGGCTCGTTTTTTCTCTCTTGCTTTAGTTCTTCTTTTTGTTTCGTATTTTTCGCGCTTTTCCCATTGTTGTGTTTTTGTTTGGTCTCGTTTTTTCGGATCGTAAATAGGCGATGGAAAAGTTTCCAAAAACAAACCAAGAAACCTACTATTTCATTGCTAGATCGATTAGATACTTCTCGGAATTCAAATCATCATGTTTCCAAGTTACATTTTACACCCAACTTTCATGATACTAAGTTCACAGACAACAAAACTATGATTTTTCGAATTACAGGAATCGCCAATTGGGCCTCAGACAATCGGGATGGCAATCTGGCAGATAAGGCAAGTAAACCCAACTTTAATTTTGAGTTGTTAAACCGTACACAAAATCTAGGTTATTTATGGGGAGGGCAGAGAGATAAGAGCCGCTACGGTTTGTCGTTGTCTAATTTAGTTATAATCGATGTGCCGGCGGTGTGATAAATAGTATTAAATATAGGTTTGAGTTCGGGAACATGCCACGTGTCACATTCTGGCATAAAAGTGACAAATTTTTCACTTTTATCCGGTAGCTAAGCAAATTATAAATGCTAATTAGATTAACAATGCGTCTCGGATTTCGCTCTAGGAAATTAAAAGCTCACCGGGCAATTGAGACCGAACATTTGACGTAAGCGCAGGCAAAATTTATCAGTAAACCCAAACAAATTATTACGAAATACAGCAATGTATTTTAAGTGTTTAAATATCTTTCGATGCTGCCATGGGAGAAAGGTCTTGCACTATTCTACCATTACCTAACTTGAGTTTAATTAATGTCTTTTATGCTTTTTTTGTAACAGTCTGCTGCTGATGCCGCCAAACTTAATAGGAAGGAGTCCTACAAGGCGCAAAGGAAAAACTACAGGCGGGAGAAAAAGCGAGTGGCCAGTGAGCTGATGAACTCGCTGCAGGATCCTGCGGTTATTGTGCTGGCCGATTGGCTGAAGGTGGGTTTCAAATATTTTAAAAATGTTCACATTTTTATAACTCAAATTTACCCAGGTTCGAGGAACCCTAAAATCCTGGACAAAACTCTGGTGTGTTTTGAAACCGGGCCTGTTGCTTATTTACAAGAGCCAAAAGACAAAGAGCAGTCACTGGGTGGGCACGGTGATGCTCACCTCCTGCCAGGTGATCGAGCGTCCCAGTAAAAAGGATGGCTTCTGCTTCAAGCTTTTCCATCCCCTGGAGCAGTCCATTTGGGCACCGAGGGGTCCAGACAAGGAAACCATTGGTAAGTTGATCTCAGCTTGAATAATTTAGTAATGTTTTGTTACACCTGCAATTGAATTTTAAATAACTTGTGTATATTCTTACCGCAAACTTTACCCAAAACTAATGTTTCTAGTATTTCAAATATGATCTACTAAGTTCACCAAATACAACCTAACAAAACTTAAGTTCTTAAATGAAATTACTTATTTATTTACTTATTCCTAAGGTGCCGTTGTCCAACCGCTACCAACCGCCTACCTGATCTTCCGAGCTCCCAGCCAGGCGGCCGGCAAGTGCTGGATGGACGCCTTGGAGCTGTCCCTGAGATGTTCGGCCCTCCTGTTGCGTTCCAATAGCAGCACGGGAGCTGCTCCTTCGTCCAGCTACGTGGGTGAACCGCTGCCCGTCTCCCACGAGACGCAATGGTCGGAGGCGGACTACGAGAAGCACTTCAACGATCACGGTAAGTGGGCGCAGTTCCTGACACTGCCGTCGTTCGAGGGGGAGACCTCGCGCTCCGAAACCAGCCTGTCCGCCTCGCGGGCACCCACTCCACTGCTGCAGCAGCTCTACAGCAGCGCCGTTAGCAACTGGGAGCGCACCAAGCGGCTGCCGCGATTCGGTCACCAGTCGGAGCAGCGGAAGACCTCGTACAGCGATGCCTCCAGTGTGGAGCAGGGCTTGGGAATGGACTTAACCATGGGCATGGTGCAGCGTAAGCGCCGCCACTTGAGTCCCATGAGCAAGTCCATGTCCTTGGGAGCCCCCCTGTGCAACAGCAGCTCCAGCGAGGATGATGAAGATAACTACAGCCAGACGGGCTTGCGACCCGTCAGCGCTCCGCCCGACTGTCTAGTGATGCCGCGCTTTCGTCTGAACGTCAAGGGTGAAAAGGCCACCTATTTGCTTTCGTCTTAGTTAGCTCATCATCATTAAGGGGGAAATTCATATTGGAAAATAAGTTATTTGATAGCACTTATAAGAGAACTTTTAAGATTTTTCAAACCAAAAAACAAACAGTCGTGTCTATATAACCTTTTCCAAATCAAATCCAAAACTAGACCATCGAAGAATAATTTGAAACAGTCTCTACATGTGTTTTTCAATTTTTCCTAAACTTATCCACTAATTTTTGCAATCCTATTAAGATGTTTTTGTATCTTAACCGCAATCTTACCTTTTACCAGTTTTTGTTCGATTTTCCAATTTGGTTTCCCCCTGAGTTAGCTAGTCAATCATCAGATATCATTGTAGCCGTGAAGTTAAATGTTCAAAATTCGTGTTTTGTATTCTCACCGCCCGGCATAGGGAGCCAATAATCCTCAGTTCAAACCTCTGGCCACCGTTTTTGGTTGCTCTTAGCGCTACCGATTTTTCACAGTATTCCGCTTTTGACACTGGCCGAAAAGTGGACTATTATTTCCCGGTCTTTGCCGTACTCGGGCTGCTAGCGAAATGTTTGTGATCTGTTTGCTGTTTCTGCAACCGTAACTCATAGATTGGACTGTCTTTTCAGATCTAGACGCAGACAGCCAGAATGAAGCACCCAATGCCGTCATGTCTGGTCTGGAATCAGAATCGGAATCGGATCCGGCTGAGCCGGCGCAGGAAGATGGCGTCGAGCAGCCTTGTGAGGAGACGTCGTATGTGCCCTTCACCGAGGAGGAGTTTGGCGAGGTGAACCCTTTAATTCTTTAAGCTAACAACCCACTAAATAATGGTGTAACTTTCGATTCCAGCAAGGGGAGCAGGTAGAGGAGTTGGCAGAGGAGAACAAGAGCCTAATTTGGTGCATTGTCAAGCAGGTGCGACCGGGAATGGATCTGAGCAAGGTAGTGCTGCCCACTTTCATCCTGGAGCCGCGTTCATTCCTGGACAAGCTATCAGACTCGTACTACCACGCGGACTTGCTCTCCAAGTAGGTCTTTCTTAGGATAACCAATTTACCCGAGAATATATAAGTAATCTGTGACTGTTTTTAGGGCCGTGCAAGAGGATGATGCTTTTACGCGCATGAAGCTTGTCGTGCAATGGTACCTGTCCAGTTTTTACAAGAAGCCCAAGGGCCTGAAGAAGCCCTACAATCCGATTCTGGGCGAGCGATTCCGCTGCTATTGGCAGCACCCCAGCGGCAGCCGGACCTTCTACATCGCGGAACAGGTCTCGCACCATCCGCCCGTCTCGGCGTTCTACGTGACGAACCGCGAGGACGGCTTCAGTATCACCTGCTCCATCCTGGCGAAATCGAAGTTCTACGGCAACAGCACTTCGGCGGTGCTCGAGGGCGCTGCCACGATGACGTTGCTGCCGCGCGGTGAGTGCTATACGGCGACCACGCCTTATGCCCACTGCAAGGGCATACTGATGGGCACGCTCTCCATGGAGCTGGGCGGCAAGATAAACATCGAGTGCGAGAACACCGGTTACAGGACGGAGCTGGAATTCAAGCTGAAGCCGTTCCTCGGCGGCGCCGATGCCACCAATGTGGTCGTGGGCAAGATCAAGCTGGGCAAGGAGACCCTGGCCACCATCAACGGGCACTGGGACAAGGAGTGCCGCGTGAAGGACTCGAAGACGGGGGAGGAGACGTTGCTATTCAAGGTGGACGCCGAGACGCGTTCCAAGCGGCTCACCAGATACCTGGTGCCGCTGGAAGCGCAGGAGCCCAACGAATCGCAACGTATGTGGCAGCACGTCTCCGAGGCGATTGCGCGCGAGGATCAGGTGGCCGCCACCGAGGAGAAGACCGTGCTGGAGGAGCGACAGCGGGCGGAGGCCAAGACGCGGGCCAGCACCGATTCCATTCACATGCCGGAACTCTTCGAGCTGGACAGCTACGGCCAGTGGCTGTACAAGTACGCCGATCTGCGGCCCTGGGACTCGCGCAACGATGTCCGCCAGTACGAGTGCCAGTTCAAGGTGCTCACCCAGACGCGACACAAGTCGGTGCCCATTGTCCACGGCGCCGAGATGATCCATCCCCTGCGCAGCTCCTTGGAGACGCTCTCCCGCACCCAAAGACAAGCAGGACAGGCCATATCGCCGGGCGGCTCCGCGGTGCCCAAGGCCAAGAACAAGAGCCTGGTGTTGGCACCGCGCGATACCAACTCAGACTCCAGCCAGTCGCCGCAGGGAGCGGTCAAGCGCAGCTCCTCCAGCATTAAGCAGTGAGTGTAAACAAGAGGTTAAATCCTTGTAAGATTGTTAATTATGTTTACATTTTAGACTCGCCTTGGCAGTGGACCAGGTGAACCGCGTGCTGGAGGTCCACACCCGGCAGCTGAACGAGATCAGCCAGCGCCTGGAGCGCATGCAGTATTCGCCTCCGGCTAGCAACATGAGCGTGCAATCGCATCATTTGCTGGGCGGCGGCGTTTCGCAATCGACGGTGATCAAGTCGCTGATCTACGCTCTGATCGGGCTGACCTTTAGCCTGATCCTGCGATGGCTGTTCAAGTAGACAGGCGGAGTCCGTCGTTGTTGATGTCATTTCTTTTAGGCCTAAGAAAACTTTTGGTCAACCTATAGATAACAAACATATATATAAACACCCTAGAGTACAGACAACGTATATGCTTTACTGAATTGTACATTTGGTCCTACTCAAATGCCTTCGCACGCTGCCAGAGATTCAAACCCGACCGAGGCGCGTGACCAGAACATCCGTTGTGAGAAAGTCTAATCACGAACTATGTATAAGATTAAGTGTTTGTCGTATGTAAGTCCCAACAATCCAAGTCTCTCCCGCAGACAACGTCCATGTGCAAGTCTCTTCACCATTGTATCCCTCTAAATTCTTTACTCAAGCTAGACCCGTTGGGTAGGTTAGGATGTCGGATATATATATTTAAATATACACATACGTACGAGTAGATGCACCAGATTTCGTAAAAATTCCAATTAAACCGATTATAGTTCGCTTTTCCGTTTCCTTCTATATACTGTTATTGTTAATGACACGACTTAGGGTGGAAAATGAGGATAATATGCTCGAGAGGCTTCCTGCCCTTTAAATCACCACTTATAGACATACCTTAGAGATTTAACGCGAAAAGTGCTTATAATAACTAATTTTAGTATCTCTTATACACAAATTGTTTTTCCTTTTTTTCCCAATACCTGCAAACCTTAAAACTTAATAAACTTCCCTTTTTCAAATCTATACAATTGTTTTTCTCCCGAAAATTGTGGAATTGTTAGTAGAGCTGATTAACAGTCTGGATGGCGCTAAAAATACTACATCTGATTTAAATGACAATTAATTTTCATCGATAAGAATTCAATCAACTGACGCCTTTATCAATTCAGTATGAATTTAGTATGAACAGAAATTAAAATCTTCGTTTTGCATGTTTTATTGTTTTAGCTCTTCGCTTTGCTTACATTTACAAGTAGTTTATATATATTTTTATATATACTATATATTCTCTACAACATTTACGGTCGATCTCTGTCAATTCAATTATAGCTGGTTTTACTCCTTTTCTCATCGATTCACTTAATTTTAGGGACTCTTGTCTCTCCGTTTTCTAACTTTTTGTTCTAGAAGCAACCCGGTTTTTTCTTCTTTCATTAAATGTATTATTGATTATTTATGCGATCGCCTTCGCTCCGCTTGTAGTCATGTGAGTAGAAGATGCTGCTAAGTATGCGCTAAGATTACACTTATATAAATAGTTGCTTTTTTATCGATTTCCTTTCGGTTCGGTTCCGATGACGCCTTATGTAAGTTTAGAGCGGGCTGGGATTACACACAGTATAGCAATAACTAGTTTTACTTTAATTAATTTACTTTACTTTGCTGGCGGGCTTAACATTTAACACGACGAGAAAAGCTGAGAAAAGCCGATACTCGGAACTAATAGGTAGGGATCTAGGGGTTTGGGTGACAACAGTTGCAGTGGGGGATAGCTTTCGGGCGGATCGATTTGTTTGAGAAAGAAGCTTTGGAGCAAGAAAATTCAACCTGACAATTTATAATCATAATGCATAATAAACAAGGCAGAGAGTAAAGAATTTAATAAAAATCGCTCTTTGTAAAACAAGTCCCTTGTGAAGGAAATATTGTTGTCGTTTAAAAGAACAAATGAATTTGTTAACTAGCTATGATCAAGATGATAAGTTACTAAAAACAACTATAAGATTTAAAATTAAAATTTTATGTGAACAAATTGTGTTCCTTTTCAGAATTTACAATTTCAATATATATGAAATATATATATATAATAAAGAAGAAAGAGCTAGTGTAAAATATATTTTTAGACTTAATGGCTTAGAATTGTCCAAGTTGAACTTTAATGCACTTAATCAAATCGACCCTTCATAGGATAGTATAGAGTTTAGGCTTAAACACCCTGTATCATATCATTCGTGGCTTATGCCATACAGCTAGCCTTAATTTACAATTGGACACGCATGTGGATCAGCTCTCTACGATATAGTTACATACAATTGCGCTCTGCACAGCAGGTAAATAACACTTTCGAGTATATATTCAAATATAGTATTCATGTAATCGTATTCGTATGCCGTATATGCGATCTATAAGTGTATGTGCTATGTGGCATGCATATTGCACTATTCCTCGATGGCTGCTTGACTGGCTGGCTGGCTGCGGACCTGGATCGCGTCGCGATCTGGTTCTGTTGTGGGTCTAGCAGGTGTGCACCCTCAGATGGTTCTGCAGCGTGCTCTTTTGCCGGAACTGTTTGGGGCAGTAGGAACAGTTGTAGGGCTTTTCGCCGGTGTGGATCTTCATGTGGTTGTTGAGCGTGGCCACCTGCCGGAAGTTGACCTCGCAGATCTTGCACTTGTACGGCTTCTCCCCGGTGTGCGTCTTGATGTGATTGACCAGTGTGCTCTGCTGCGAGAAGAACCGCTGGCATACGCTGCAGCCGAACGGCCGGTCCGGGTTGTCGCCCTTCAGCATGTTGATCGTGCCCACGACGGTCATCCTGCCCGGCGGTAACCCGCCCGCCTGGAAGTGTTCCACCTTGGTGTTGGCCGCCGCCGTGGCCACAACCGAGCTGACCGTGGTGCTGCCATCGAGGAAATGCAGTAACGGATGGTGGTCCAGCTGGATAATGTTCGGCGTGCTGCCGTGCAGGTTGTTTGGCAGCAGCCCACTCGTCAGCTGCTGCGTCCCGGGCGCCAGAGGTGCGGGCATTGAGTGATCCACTGCAGATTGGCGGTACGGAGATGGAGTTAAAGTTGATAGGTTGGTCGGTTTGTAGAAGTTGGCATGCGTACAAGATTTAAACAAAAGCTTCGTTAGGGAAGAGCGTTAATTAATCGATGCACACAGTGATAACAGAAAGCGGCTCATTGGTAGGGCGAACACACAAGCGGCTCACCTGTGGCTGTGACGGCTCCTCCGCCGCCTCCTGCTCCACCGCCGCCGCCTGGCGCGATCTGGTGCGTGTGCGTCTTGAGGTGGTTGGTGAGGGTGCTCTGCTGGCGGAACTGCAAGTGGCAGTAGGAACACGTGTACGGCTTGTCGCCCGTGTGGATCTTCTTGTGGTTGGCCAGCGTCGCCAACTGGCTGAAGGACTTGTCGCACGTCTCGCACTTGTACGGCTTGGGATCGATGTGGGTCCGCTCGTGGTTGTGCAGCGTGCTCAGCTGCGGGAAGCGGCGCTTGCAGACGCTGCACTGGAACGGCTTCACCAGCTCCTCGGCCGCTGGCGAGCTGTAACTGCCGGAGTACAAGGTCTTTGAGATTTGAACGCGCTGATGCTGCTGCTGGTAGGCCTGGTGCATCTGCGATTTCCTGTGCTTGCCACTGCTCGTCTGCGGCTGATAGTTAAGCAGGGACGTAGGCGTGCTGGACTCCGCCGCTGTTACCCGGAAAGGTTAAATCGTTAGCTCTGTTTCGATAGTGGCAATGCCAACGCACACTCACCCTTGTGCGTCTTGATGTGATTGATCAAGGTGCTCTGCTGGCGAAAGTCCTTTGCGCAGATGTTGCAGGTGAACGGCTTCTCGCCGGTGTGGATCTTGACGTGGTTGGTCAGCGTCGAGATCTGGCGGAAGGCCTTGTCGCAGTGCTTGCACTTGTAGGGCCGCTCGTCCGTGTGGATCTTCATGTGGTTGCGTAACGTAGTGAGCTGCCGGAACTTGTTCTTGCACACGTGGCACTGTTTCTTCTTGCGCGGATCGTCCACTACGACCTCCTCCTCGCTAATGACGCTCTGCACCTCCTGCTTCATTGGGGAAATGGGCGTGTGATTACCACCTCCGCCTCCACCACTGTTTGCCGTAGTTGTGGAAATGTCCAGCAAGTGGACTAGCGGATGCTGTGGATGGAGCATGGCCTGGTGGGTGGGATGTTGGATCGCCTGCACGGCGGTCAGTTGGTGCAGGGCAAAGGGACTTTGCTGCAGGCTAGCCAGTGTAGTGGGCTGCTGCTGCTGGCCAGGATTGGGTCCAGATCCATTGGCTGCTCCTCCACCTCCGCCACCGCCTCCTCCTCCTCCCCCGCCATGTGAGGCTGGTAGTTGGTAGTGCTGATAGTTGGCCATCGCTGCCGTGGCGGCGGTCGCATGGTTCAGATGCATGTTATTCGAGTTTGGATTGGATCCTAGCGCGGATCGAATGTCTGCCCATCGGCGTTATACAATGGCAGCCACCAATGAGCCACGGCCATTCCCCGCCCCCGGCGCCACCTTACCCTTTGGGCCCACTCGTTTTTTTGGTTTGTTATTTTAGCCGTCTGGTTGCACTTCTGTGTACTTTTGCTGCTGCTGCTTCTTCTCCTCTTCTTCCACACGCTGCTTCCACGTAGATTTTCGGGGATGCTCGAACGCACGCCCACTTGGTCACACACCGCCCAACGATCTGTTTGCACCGCTTTCGCTCGGTTTCGGGGCGCTTTCTCCGCCGTTTCTGCAATTTTTCCAGGCCACGCTCTTTTTGTATCCGTATCCTTATCAAAACAAAAATGACTGGCGTGGTTTTCCAGGGCTGGGCGAACGGCCAGAGCTGCACCCCCGCCGCACATCGAGTAATCGGACAACGGCCAACCAGGGATGATTGCTGAAATGTGTATATCGGTCGCTCGGCCGATAACAAATACATATTCATTTTCTGCACTATATGGTGGCCGTCTAGCTATTTAAAGGCTGTCTGTGTATTGGATATTCAAAACATAATTTATTGATTGTAATCAATAATTCACAGTTTCCCTTCATAATTAATTCCCAAGTAATAATAATGGGCGTTTGACATGGCTATTACTTACAATCTTTTTTAAACAAAGTTCCAAAACATATAATTTCCGTTTATTAAGATTCGTTGGAATTTAATAAGAAAAGTCTTGATTTTTACATATACATTTTTACGGTGTTTTTCAATGTTGTTTTTATATTCTCAAAAAGGAAACTGTGTAATAAAATATTTCTATAGAGAAGTATTGAGTATGGAGAAGTATAATCTTTCCATATTATCAAATACGTCTTTTTTTTAAATTTCAATATAAAAATATTTTTAAGTATCCCTTCGTAAACAGGTTTTGTGTATCCTATTTAAAATGTGCAATTTTCGAGCAATAAATGAAATTTTAGCTATGTAATAGCTATGGGACATAATCTTTTTAGCTTCTTTTGGTGTGATAGTTTTTAACACTGGTCTTTCGACGTGTTTGGCTTTTTGTGTGAAAGGAAAACAAAGAATCAAAACAACGGGGGAGTTTGTAGAATAATACGTAGTTTTAGATTCCTTTACTACCAGGGGTTTAGAATTGTTCCAGCCATGAGCAACAACGAGAGAAAGGAGGTGAAACCGACCACATCGGATTCGAATTCCTCATCTAGCGACGAAGGGGAGAGCAAAGGTTTGTCTAACAACAAGGGTTTTTACTGTCACTTATTAACCATTTACGAATTTTAGACCCCACAATGGATATGATTCGTCGCTTCTTTGCTCACACTCTGAACCTAGGCGGTTCCACGGACGCAAAAGCAGACCTCAAAGTGGAGAAGGTGAGAAACAATGCCGATAATTAAATTATCACAATAATTAAACGACATGTGATCACACCATCCAGGTTATTCCCGACTTGTCTTTCGAGGGCTTCGTCGATCATTGGCGCGAGCATGGTTTTCGGAAGATTGTGACCATGGTGGGAGCCGGCATTTCCACTTGTGAGTATATAGATTGTCCAAAAGATCTTTTCTTATGTGTGCTTTTCTTAGCTGCTGGCATTCCGGACTTTAGGTCACCAGGATCTGGACTATACAGCAACCTGAAGAAGTACAAGCTACCGCATCCCACAGCCATATTCGATCTTGACTACTTCGAGAAGAACCCGGCTCCGTTTTTTGCCCTGGCCAAGGAGCTATACCCGGGCTCCTTTATCCCCACACGGGCCCACTACTTCGTACGTTTACTGAATGACAAGGGTCTGCTGCAGCGTCACTACACTCAAAATATAGACACTTTGGACCGGCTGACTGGCTTGCCTGAGGATAAGATTATTGAAGCGCACGGCAGCTTCCACACCAACCATTGCCTGAAGTGTCGCAAGGAGTACGATATGGCCTGGATGAAGGCGGAGATCTTTGCCGATCGCTTGCCCAAATGCAAACACTGCAAGGGGGTTGTTAAACCAGACATTGTCTTCTTTGGCGAGAACCTTCCGCAAAAGTTTTACACCAGTCCCGATGAGGATTTCCAGGACTGCGATCTGCTGATCATCATGGGCACCTCGCTTGAGGTGCAGCCGTTTGCTTCACTGGTTCAAAGGCCTGGACCACGATGCCTGCGCCTGCTGATTAATCGCGATGCAGTGGGTCAGGCAAGCTTTGTGCCCTGGATGGATCCGCATGAGCGATCGCTGCTCTACGACCGGCCAAACAATACGAGGGATGTGGCCTTCTTGGGCGACTGCGATGCTGGAGTCCTGGCTTTGGCTAAAGCGCTTGGTTGGGAGGATGACCTGCAAAAGCTCATTGACAGTGAAAAGAAGAAACTTATCGACAAACAATCGCCAAACAAAAACGAGGAACAGAAAAAAGAGGAAACTAACCAGGATTCAGATGACACGGCTTCCAGCAGTCGGGGCAAGAAGGATCCTTCGGTTTAGAGCAAGAGATTAGTTAGTACGATTCGTAGTTAATTTGTAGTTGTTCAAGTGTGCAATTCTGATTACATGGATTACGTGTATAAATCGGACAATGCCATGTGCAGGCATTTGCTGGCTAATACCGCGCGCTTCATTTCTCCTCCGTTTCCGGCATTCAATTATTCAAGTGCCATTTGTAAGCCATTAGCGTGTCCCTTTTGGTCGGGCCACCGTAAACCGCAAAAACTGATTGAGTTGCTCTGCCGTTTCCGGCGCACAAAAAGCTGAAACCGCCAACAAAGGTTAACTCTCGACATGTTTCTGTCTCGTTTTCAGGGTTCGGATTCTGGTGCTGATTCCAAATCAGTTACAGCTGCCTAGCCCCTCTCGACATCACATCGCACGACCGCTGTTGTGGGCGTGGCATGCGGCATTCTAACTGCCTGTTTGTGTGGCTTACACTGATGTTGCTCCTGCTGCTTCTGTTGCTGCTGCTGCTGCATCAACTTAATGACTCGCAATCTGTCCTGCAGAAATACACACGCACAAAGCGAATGAGACACACACGGCAGTCCGGTAATGAAGCTTCTGCGGTGAATTGGCCAATAGAAAATACGTACGGGCTGCACTAATTAAAACCAAGCTCGCAACCAGGCCAGCGGGTAACCTCCTGCCGGGGCAAGCAAGCGGATATTGTTAATCGTTGACAGGACTACAGGGGTGGTGGGGCGTCGGACGAAGATGCAGGCTGCCTGCCTGCCTGTCAACTTTGGCCCTGCCGCGCTCTGGATGCATTAGGAAATCAAATGCAGCCACGGAAATATTGATAGCCACGCAATTTGTTGCAGTTGCAGTTGCAGCTGCTACTGCAATGCCCCAGAACTTTGGCAATTAAAGCTAATGGCCTAAGATCTTGTCTATTTGCTATTTTCCCGAGTGTTGCCATCTCAGCGAATGTGTGGCTGCACTGATAAAAATGATTGCTAAAAAGGAACTTATTAGGATTCAAAGTTCAACTTAAAAAACGTAATTTAAATGCTATGAGCTGTATGACTTATGTAAATAAATAGGAATAGGAACAATTCGTTCAAGCAAAGCTAGAAATTTTCCTTCCCTAATGTTAAACATTCTAAATCAAGGTTCTGCGTTACTAAACGCACGCAGGAAAAAATGCTTTTAAAGATATAAAATAACAAATAACTTATAAGCATTTATTGTAATTTTTGATTTCTCATTGATAACTCTAAAATTTGTGATTTTAATAAAGGGTAAAGGTAAAGGGTTTGTATTCAAATAAAAAATAAAAAATATTTGCTATGTCTTTTCATCATTACCTTTGGCATTACATCTTAGATTTATGTTGCTAATCCACTCAGTTTTTGCAAAATTTTTGTCGTACTGTACTACCAAGTCACTCAGTCAAGATTGACTCAAGTTGGCTCAATATTAACTTGACTTTCACCACTCCTCCCCGACAAAAGCGGAACGCCATTAAGTGCATTCCATACACACGCCATTGAGGAAGCAGCGTTTGCGGAGACTAAAGGGCAGGTCATATTTGTGTGAACATGTTTCATATTTGTAATCAAAATGCGATGCTTTCCACCCGCCCAAAACCACCACCCACTCTCTATAAGCCTGTTCATCAATGGCATTGAAAGAAAGGCGGGGGGTTGATGAAATCGTGGACATTCCCCGATGTCATCAGCGACAGCTGCGCTCGCGCTTTGATATTGAATTCTTGACATGATTGTGTGGCGCACAGCTTGCAAGGGAATTGATTGAGCCCCAAAATACAGTTTAAAGGAATCATAAACCCCGACCGCAAATAACTCAGGCGAGGCTAATAAAGCAGGGATCCCAATCGATTGTGTAAGCGAGAGCCACAAACCTATTTAATAGGCGTTTATTCTAAAATATTCGTTGTTATCGTAGCATAAACGAAATATTTATGAATATTTTATTATTGCTTTAATAAAAAGAAAAGCAGAAGCGGATACGACTATGGCTGCCAAATGCCGCTCTCAAAACGCAATTTGTGTCAATAAATGTGGGAGCACACAAGAACGTTTGGGTGAGTGGATTGTCTACAAGCAAGGAACAAAAAATAGGCTTAATAGAACCAATAATAAATTGGTAAGGGGATAACCTTTTCTGGTAAATTATTGTTATAATATATTGTATTATTATTATAATTACAATAACATTTTGTTTGTTATTTTTTTGTAATACTTAAAAAACAAATTTATAAAAAGAGAGAAGTAAAATATATGTGTTTATTTTATTATTATTATTTATAAGCAAAATATACATTTCTGTTGGAAATTAAATAACAAATTATAAAGTGTGCCAGCGCTGTGTATGATGAGTGCGTATGAGCCTGTTTGGGTTTAGCATCCCCTTCGTATCAGTAGCAGCCGTTGGAGCTCCAGCATAATCGTCATAATCATTTTATGTCCATGTAGTATAGCATACTCTTGTTCGCATAAATTTTTATTTACGTCTTTGTCAACACAATACTGCAAAAACGATTGAGTGGGTGGTGTGTCGTATGAAGTACCAAGTACTCCCACCCCACCTTATGTAAAATTAAAGTGCGATTTGAAATGGTGCTTGCCGCATGCAGCCAAATTGGCGGTTTTCGTGGCTCCAAATGAGCTGCGGTGGTGTTCGAATTTATAAAATAAATTTCCCCTGCGGTCCCGATATGATGAACAATAAACTGTATCCAGGCCCAATCGAGTGGTTTTCCAAATAGAATTATTCTCGAAATCGCAGCCATCATATTTCTTATCAGGGGAGTAGAACAAAACGAGTTTAGGGATTGTCATTAATGAAGTGTAACGAATTGGAAACCAAATAATTCGCATTGATTTCGCTGGTTTTTCGAACCGCAGGTTGCATTGATTTGGCGCATCGGCAAAAACGGGTCCATGGCCAATTGATTGGCCAAAGCCAATCTTCAATGAATAAATGAACGGATGCGGATATATGTGGTGAGTGTGGGTGTGTCCGTGCATGAGTGTGTGTGTTTGGATCCGGATTCGGGTCCGAGTCCGGGTCCGGGTCCGTCAGGTGCATTGTCGAGTGCATTTAATTGTGGCCCAGGACGCACCGAGCTCACACACAAAAGGATTTTTACCAGGGTCCCTGCAACGGCAGGAAAAACTCCTCAAACAGATAGAAAGAGAGGAAAATGATTTAGCCAAAATGGTTGGCAGTGGTGGGCTATATTTTTTTTGTCCCATTTCCCGTTTGCATCTCGTTTTGTTTTCGGTCCGGGCCGGTTCGATTTGGTTGGCCATCGGTTTTTGTGGTTAATTGAAATTTTTCATTTGGCCATCGCCTCAGCGGCTTTAAATTCATTTTGAATTGTTAGTTCTAAGCCCCGGGTATTTCCCGGGCGAGTTCACAGCCTGCACCAAAATATGCAATAAATTTGCAAAAGCACAACGACAACAAAACTCTTTTCTGTCACTGGATTATGTAATTGCATAAACTCTCATATATTTAAATTCATATAGATACGAATCGATTTGGGAAAAACAATTATCAATATTTAATTCGCTGGCGGTTTTTGTGGTCGCCAAATGCAAATGAAATATGGAAATCTGACTAGGCTTAAAGTAATAACGAAGTCAAGGCATTAGAATGCAGAACGCCACCGAAGGGCTTGCCAAATTAAATGTATTTAATTAAAGTTATAATTTTACTGAAAAGAATGGGGAAGAAGGTAAAAACCCATTTAGAGCGTGAAAGAAACCTGCATTTTGCGAAACATTTCCTCAGCCTGTTTCCTTCGTTTCACCTGTTTTGCTCGCAGGATGTGTCCGTGCACCTAACCAACTTTCCCAGCCCCCTTATCCTTATCGTCCTGGCCCGGTCCGACATTGGTAATTTAGAGAAAATTCTGGGCCAGGGACGGCGGCGGGATTGGAGGGGTAAAAGTATTTTGTACTCGTTACTTGTATTGCCTTTTCGATTTGCACTTTACACGCTTTCATTACACTTCGTTTCCGTAGCAGGGAAAACGGCAGAGAGCGAGGAAAGATGGAAATACTTGACCCGAAACCGTTGCATTGTTAGCATTTAAACTGTTTCTTTGCCGTTGCGCTTCACTTGAACTGCACACTCGAGAGATACAGAGACAGTGGAACCTCACTAAATAGTATTTTATTGATTTCTCAAGTAGATAATTTTAAATGCAAATATATTTCCGAATAAATGGGCTCTTTAATTATAACCGTGCATAATTGTTACTACTTTTAAAAATGGTTTTGGTATTGAAAGGAATGACATTGCAGGTATATGTTACCATGAATTTTTAGTAAATGGTTTTCATTAAAAAGGAAATACTTTTAAAGCAATATGGTATGAAAGAGATTAAATAACTCTCTTTTTTTAATTGTCCAAGCTCCACTGTAGTTAGAGTGGGGAATTCGTAAGTGGATGGGCGGTATTATCTAAATACCCAACAGAAACATTTTGCAGCTGCAGCCTCATAATCATTGACAGCCGAATCATGGCAACGAGCACTCATCTTAACGTCAGTGGAAATGATTGCTGCCCCCGAAAATGCCACCCACTTTGGCAGCAACCGACATGCTGCCTTGACACTTTAAGCTGCAATTTCGTTAAAATATTTCCAATCGATTTCGTTGGTTTATCGCCAAGTTTATTTCCACTTTCTTGTTGTTTGCCAGTTGTTCTTCCCGCTTTTCCCCTTCTGAACTGCAGCACATTTTCCTTTTCCACTCTGCCAGATCTTACGGAAATGAAATGTGTTTCTATTTTAGTTTCACAGGCTATATTTTTTTTCGTGTGTGCATTTACACGCTCGAGTGTTTGCCCCAAACTCGAAGGAAAGGTTTTGGTAAATACGACAAAAAAAAGAAAGCGGAAAGAAAACGCAGGCCATCTCTTCAGTTTATTTACAAATCACGAGAAAAAAAATGCAATTTTTAATACACCATAAATGGCAAGCGCAAATATGAGCCAAGCTTCTGGGGTCTGGCCTCGACCAAATGGCAAATATTTGCAGAAACTTTCGAGTCCCCGCCCACTCATCTCATTTCTGCAGTGGCAATCTGCATAATTGTGCGGCAACAAAATGTTATAGGGAAACAAATTTCCACCTTGCACACGCAGCAGCATCAGCAGCAAATGAGAGTTTCAAGGACAACGACTAATTCAGCGGTGGTGCAGGGGAAATGAAACTGAAACTGATGTCCTGGCTAATTACCATGCAAATATTTACACATTTCCATGGACTGACAGAGGAATCTTGCAGAGCTTGTCCGATGCTTGTCAGATGCAGTCAGATGTCACGAATGGTTATCAAGCATACGCAATGTGTGCCGGGCACTTGATGAGCTGTGGGTAATTGTTTCTGACTTGAGTGCTCGGCAGGTGACGCTTTGTGATTGTGTATGTTTCCAAAGAAATACATTTGAGTTAAGACAGTGTCTTGTTTGATTAGGATTTCAATAAGTACAAGATATTCGGACAGACAGTAATTTCTACCTTAATAATATGCAATATAACATGAGTGTTAATTCATTCAAGTTTCAACAAAAACATTAAAACATTGAATGAAGTTTTAATTTAATTTTCATTTGAATATAAGTAAAATAAAATTTTATTGATATTAAAAAAAATTATTTTAAAACGTATGATTAAATTTATGTGAGCTTCTGAATTAACAGCATAATAGTTTAAATCAACATAAAATTTTATTCTCATAATTATCCAGAGAAAAGATAAAAGCAATGAAATAACAATTCTAGGCAATGTGTGCTATAAATATTTGAAAGAAGAATAATTAACAATAACGTGGCTAAAGGTAAATTTTGCTATTTAAACATTAAATGTTTCAGTCAAAGATTGCTTTGGATTAATACTGTGTGCAAAATTAACAGCTTAGTCTGCGTTTTGGTTATATTGTTTTCATATGTGCCCGTGGCTGACTTTCGGCTTTGTTTTGGCCTATTAAATTCCTCTTGAATGGTTTCTGGCTCAGCCACAATTATTGATCACATCGCATTGTTAGTCAACTGCCGCGGAAAATGAGCAAGTGAGAGTCGTGAAAAGGGAAAACTCATTTGCATGGCTTATTCCCTTCGCTTCGCAGTTTCAGCTGCCACGTTGCTAAATGAAATGGCACGATTTACGCCGGAGCCTTCATGTTGCCATTGTTTAGTTGGCTGCCAAGGGCTTCAAGGACACCGCCTTGTTTCGCTATTCATTAATGCAGCTGTGAGCCTTGATTGCCGCGCCCCACTCGCTGCTTCTGTTGTTTTTGCTATTATTATTATTTAAATGTAAATGGATGGGTAAATATATGCTTGTGTGGTTTACACTGACGGGTAATTTGCCTTTAACATTGGAGGCAATTTAAAGTTCTTTCTGCGGCGAGCACTTTTCATTAGCATGCAAGTGCAATTCGGTCTAGGCAAATTGCCCGCCAGCAGGCACCAGATGAAAGCATAACACAAAACTCTAAGCCACAGCCGGCCAAAGAGGAAAAGAATTTAAAAAAAAACTTTAGCTAAAAATGCGCCACGCACTCACTCACTCATACAGCCAGCCGTAAACCTTTCGGTTTTCGGCCATATGTTGCCACTGTGTTGGCCACTTCTGCAGCTTGTGGGCCACATTGTGGTCGGTTTGCTGGTCAGCCCGCCTGCGGTTCTGCCCCCCGCTCCTCTTCCTCCTCCTGCTTTTCCTCATCCAACTGGTGATGGTGGCGTGTACTTGTGCGTGTGCGGGGCGTGTAAATTCCATTTCTGCGGACAGACACGCACGCAGACAAACACGTAATCGCACAAATCTGCATTTGTGTCTTGATTAGTGTTGCAAACTTCAAGGACCTTCGAGTGCGGGAGCGTTTTCGTTGTTGGTAAAGAGGTTTAACTCTGAGAAAAATATTTGTTCCAAAAATACAACTTTTTAATCAGTATTAACAGCAGAGTTAATGACTTTAAATAGTGGCAGAAGGCATCAATTTTATATTCTTAAAATCTACATTAATGAACATGTATTGCGAACAGATTTTCAATTTCAACGAAACAAAACAACAAATTTTAATTAAATATTAATATTAATATTTAAAACGATTCTTGTTTAAAAATTTTTACACAATCTTATTCATTATAAAATCATTTTTTACAAATGTGAATTATTTTGTTATTTTATTTGCATAATTACTGTTTGATTTACAATTTTGTTTTATACAAAATGTTTTCTTATTGACTGCGTATTTCGCTTTCAAGTTGTTTGAGATTTCTTTGATAGCTTCAGCAGGAATTTAATAAGCTCAGAAGACCGAAGCTTATTTTATAACCCGCTTTAGCAACTTAAACTTTAATCACTTTATCAGACCATTCCCACATTCGCTTTATGGCCACCCGCAAAGCTTTTCGGAAGATAAATATCGTTTCATGGATTTTTAATGCCATTGACTTTCGAATAACTCGTACTGGGGTAACACACCGCTTGAGTGTTTAATTGCCCTTTAGTGCCGAGCCATGTGTGTGGATAGGAGCTATGATTTTTTGTTGCCTTTTGGGGGATCCCAGCAGGTTGTCGAGGCAATAAAATCGCCGCCTGCTGCGCACTCAAATGACCAGGACCACCAGCCAGACTCCCAGACTCCCAGTCCTCTCCTTTCGAGCTCCTCGTCCTGGAATGCCTGTGTCTCCGTCTGGCTCTGCTTTGGCTCGCCAGGAGCAAATCCTTTAATCTGTCTTTCAATTTCAAATAACCCAATGGTTAAGCACTCGCTACACTCGCACATTCACCACCGGAGTCTGCCTGTCTCGACTGTCCATTTGTCCATTTGTGTTCGCACATCGGCCGCGGCGACGGTTCCGTCGTCCTGCGTCCTGCGTCCTTAACCCCTCATTGCCCACAGAATTGGCTGGCAGACCAATTGAATTGTTTCAATTGACACTTGGCTCGGTCCCGGCTCAGTTTCTGCCCACTATCTGCGGAACTTTAGCTTCGTTTCGGGCTTTGTTCGCATTCATTATGAAAGGCAGTCGTTTGGCCGTATTGTTGTCGCTAATTTGTGGGATCGCTAATTGGCCTCAGGCCAGGGGTCAAGCTAGATCACTGGGAAAAATTTGGTCTCCAAAACCTATTAAAACAAATTTACAAACTTTTTAAGTGTACTTAGGTATTTGCTTGTAAATGGCGGAGGTGTATTTTGATTCTTGATTTATTAAAAGCGTAATTTTGGGGTGTCTTGCATTTCTTGGTTGGGCTTTTAATAAGGGAGGTGACCTTTTAAAATATCCCAAATTATGGACAGTTAAAATATGTAAAAAAAATTAACAAGAGGATATTAAAAAAAAATTTATATATTGTTATTTTTGGTATGTTTGTTAAAAGAACTAGTTTTCATTTTATTGTTTTTTTTTTCTACTATTTTACAATCAGCGTTTTTTTTGAATTTAAGTGTTGAGACTTGATTAACCACATAAGTGATGCTTTGGCTGAATTTCCTACGTCCGACTCCTTTTAACTATATTATAGTTTAAGTAAGCTAAGGGATTCCACTTGACTTGCCCGAGGCACCCTTCGTTGTGTTCTTGTTTGTTTACTGAATTATGCAAATATCGAAATGTGCTGTGTGCGTTTCATTAGGCTAATGTCTCGGCAAATAATGGCCATTTCCAGTTTGCGATGATAGGACCAGCCGGAGGTTTTCAATTACAGCTCGAGTCAAAATCAATTTGCCGCCCAATCGAAGCAGAGTCATTAAATTTCTGGCCTATAAAAGCCGCACTTCAGGAGAATGAAATCAAAGGGCAGCCGAGATGTTGCTGCACCCGATGGTGATGCATTTAAGCCAATTGCTTCGGCTTATAGGTAACGAAATTCGACTTAGGACTTCTTAGCCAACTAATCCTGCTTCCTCTTTAGTTGGTCAATACTTCGCTGAATTTTCATCCATTCTGATGGTCTGCAATAATTCCGGATCTACAACTCAGCTTCAACTGGATTATTTAAGTGCTTTGGAATTAGTTCTTCGGGATTTGCCTCAGCCTATAAGACTTCAATGGATTAATGTGGCGCTAGTAAAGGACATTACGGCATTAGAGGACCAAGTTATGAGTGCTTTAAATGACAGTGTGACAGAGGTGAGTTTTTAATATTATGAGTTTTATTCAAAAATATATTTTAAATGCTTTTTTGGCTAGGGTTTTATAACCATCTTGTCGCAAACAAACCTCTTTCTTCACGCCCGCTATTATGCAACTCGAAATGCAAATGTGCGACTCAAGGATAAGCGATATTTGTTTCTCTGCGAGGACGAAAGCCCCGCGGAATTGCTGGGCATGGATATAGTGCAGTGTGAGTACAGGATGCTGTCGTAAATGAAGCCACTGCGGATAAGCCGTTTCAATTGAGCGTTCCTGTCTGGTTTCATCCGATTCAACCGACCCCGTCAGCATCAATTTATTAGCTTAAGCGGTGACTTTTCGCCATCTCCCTGGGGGCGTGGCAAAACAAGTCAAACTGTGAAAGTTTCCTCCTGACGCCCCCACACGAGGGGACTTCCGCGTAAACATGGTCGGGAAACAGCCGCAGGACATTCGTGGCCAGTTGATCAAACTTTAGCACTTGCCAATAATTTCAACGCTCGACGGCTTCTTGTTCAATTGTATACTTGGGCTGTTTCATCCCTCTGTTTGTTGACTTTTTGCTCGTTTTTTTATCACCTACTGGTGTTACATACCCTGGAGTTACTAAAACAAAACATTTGGAATTTGAAATAGGAACAGAAAATATCCCATTATTTTTAAAATCTCATCAAGGCTAATTTATGTACTTCTTTATACAAATTGGGTAATCTTTCGTCGATATCCCTTGATTGCTAACTAAGGTCCCTTGCCCTTTTTTTTATCCCTTACCCGATTGTTGTTTCTGCTTGTCCAACAACGGGAAATCGCTGTAATGCGCTTTAGTCTACCCCCACCATCTGATGGTGAGACCTGGAACCGAAACTGAGGCACAAACAGGACCAAAAACAGGACCCCGAGCAGAACCCAGGAGCAAGGAAGGCGCATCGGTAAACACGGGGGACAAGGACGATGGAGGAGGGACAAGAACCACTTCGCCCCACCGCGACATCAATTTCGAGCTGTGGACACAAAAGTTTGTCGGTGCCTTTGGTAATTTGGATGCTGTGCTCCTGGACGCATTCTTGCCGAACGAAACTTTTGCCAAGCGGGTCGAACTTTATCCCAACAAGCTGCTCAATCTGGAGCGCCGCAGCCTGCTCGTTGGCTCCATTACTTATGTCCCTTATACGATTACTAATTATGTGGTAAGTAATTGCCGGTTAAGTTTATATTTATCGTTTGTTGTTGGTGCACTGACAAAATAAATACCGAACTCTGATACAAATATGTTTCCATAAAAATATATTGAAAAAGATATTTTAATTTACTTCACGACATTTTGAAAATTAATTTTTAAATGCAAGCAAATATGTAAACTGTTTTGGTAATTTAGGTATTTGATTTTGAACTAACAATATTTTATGTTAAATGGAAATCAATTGAGTATGGCCTTTTAATAAAATCAAAGTAAATTTACAGGAACCTTTTCTTTGAAAAGTAGTTTTAATGATCCAAGCAGTTTCGATCCATTACTGTTTAGAATCAATTTTAGTATTAATAGGAATATAAGTGAACGGATGCTATTATAATTTTTGGTGTTACTTGCCGTTTTTTCCTGTGTATTCCTGATGGCCAGTCAGCTTTACCCAAATGCCAGAGATTTGCACGCCAGCATTAAGCAAAGCCAATTGGTCGTCCTTGTTCCCCTCCACCCAATCCCCCCACCCCCTCGAAATGCTGGGGACTCCTCATCTTCATCAGGCTCATTCACATGGTTGTCTTTGCATTAGTCGAGCTCAGTGTGCGAACTCATCATGAATAAATGTCCAGTGGTTGCTTCCTTGCCCCAAAAACGTATATGTGTGCGAGGATTGTTGGGGGTTGTGTGTGTTTGGTGGTGGTGGTGGTGTGGGTGCTTAGTTATTTGGCTTTGTTGTCGTTGTGGGCAACGATTTCGGCAACTAAAATGTAAGCACATGTTGTACTGCGGTGCCCAGTCCATGGTAATCACTGATGGGAGTTGTCAGGAGCCGTCTCCATGATTTGTCCGTCTGCAAAAAGTCACTGTGGACTCCAAAAACAAATACCATGGTCATTCTAATTATTATTATGCTCTGATTACCAGAGCAACAAAACGTCATATATTTTAAAAATTTTAAAAGATGGTTATTGTTTTATTTAAATAAATATATAAGTATACCAGCTAACAAGGAACTAAAAACTATACAATACTTTATTCAATTTAAAATATATTATATTTTAATCAATCAAGCTGTAATTCATAGTTTGTAAAAATGGATACGCAATAGATCCTAATTTCCTAATAATCAATGAACCTAGCCTGAATCAAATTGCATTAACTGTTCAATTATTCAAATCACATTTGAAACTGACTAAAGTATTTTTCTGACTCAATTCAAATCCTTTTTATCCCATTGTTTCAACAGAATGGATCCAAAAAAATGGAGCTTTTGTTGTCATTTGGCAAAAGTTTTGTTCGCACTCAATTGTTTGCCTTAAGGACATTTGCACATTTGTAAACACACGCACACCCAGCCAAACACCAACACAAATACCGGCACCAGCGCTCACATACACACATACCCACACACACCCTCACCGACACGCAAACAGCCACAAGCATGTGCATGTGGTTTTGTTTGGGGCTTGGCTTTGGATCCTGCACAGCACCAACATTGATTTAAATTACGTGTTTCCATTTAATTGCCGCCCGACGAGTGTCGATGTCCATTTGAATGTTACTTTGTGTTCCGAATGGAGTTCGAGTGAGTGTCTAAAAGGGTGTTAGAGTGGGCGTGGCCCCAACAAGACCATTAACCAAATTAGCAAAGACACTTGATTGGCCGACTGTAGCTAACCATTAACCATTAACCCCTTGCAGCCCGCTGGCCAAGGAGACGTCGATCCCATTCATCCAAATAAGGGCAACCGATCGGTTGCTTTCGATGGAGCGGAGGCCAATGTGATGAAGACCTTCTGCCAGGTGCACAATTGCAATCTCAGAGTGCAGCCTTGTAAGTCCTTGTTAAAAATCCTATCAAAAATGGTTTGAGTTTGAATAAAAACATTTTAGAAAATATTACAAACACCAACACGTATTTTGTATTTTATATTTGCAATTTGTTGTAATCGGAACATTATTTAAACTTCAAATCACCACATTTAAAAAGGGTCTGGAATTAATTTCGTTTTGTTTATTTAATCAATTGCTTTTATCTCTTCAGTTCTTAAAAATGTTATGTTTTCCTTGTTGGGCTTTAAATTTAATTCGACAATAAATATTTTTTTTACAGACGGTGCCGACAACTGGGGCGGAATTTACGATAACGAATCTAGTGATGGGATGCTGGGGGATATATACGAGCAGCGCGTTGAGTTGGCCATTGGATGCATCTACAATTGGTATAATGGGATTACAGAGACTTCGCATACTATAGCTCGTTCTTCAGTTACCATTTTGGGTCCAGCACCGGCGTGAGTTTCATCTATTTTATTTCCAATAAGGCGAACATTTATTAGGTATCTCATATTCAGACCTTTGCCCAGTTGGCGTACAAACATTATGCCCTTTAGTGACCTTACATGGCTGACGTTGATCTTAACTGTAGTAATTTGCGGCACTTTTCTGTACTTTATGAAGTATGTCAGTTACCTAATGGGGTTTCCATCGGAACAGAAGAGATTTCATCATAGCAGCAAGCTTGAGAAATCACTATTAGATATATTTGCTCTTTTTATTCAGCAGCCATCTGCTCCTCTGGGGTAGGTTATGCATCAAGAAAATTAAGTACATAATATAATAAAATCTTGTTTATGTTTATGTTTTCCCCTTTAGTTTCAATAGATTTGCGCCGCGCTTTTTCCTGGCCACTCTTTTATGCGCCACAATCACTCTGGAAAATATTTACAGCGGCCAGCTGAAGTCGATGCTAACTTTTCCCTTTTTCGGAGCTCCAGTTGATACAATCGAGAAATGGGCACAGGTGGAGTGGAAGTGGGCAGCTCCCTCCATTATCTGGGTGCACACGGTGGAGAGTTCCGATCTGGAAACGGAACAGATCCTGGCCAGAAACTTCGAGGTGCACGATTACAACTATTTGTCAAATGCCAGCTTTATGCCCAACTATGGATTTGGAATCGAACGTCTGTCTTCGGGTTCGATTTCCGTTGGCGATTACGTGTCCACAGAGGCTCTTGAAAATCGGATTGTATAGTTAGTTTTTGCTCCTAAGATAAAATTATAAAACTCATTTTTTTCCAAGGTTTTGCATGACGATTTGTACTTTGATTATACGCGGGCTGTTTCTATTCGTGGTTGGATCCTGATGCCAGAATTGAACAAGCACATTCGAACCTGTCAGGAAATGGGACTTTATTACCACTGGGAGTTGGAGGTAATTGTAATTTGTAAAGAGTATTTCACTCAATATTTAAATTTTTCCAATATATGTATACTCGGACTTAACAAAACAGTTTATGTTTTCAATTGGAAAATAAATAAGTTTATTTTTGTTCCACCAGTTTATTGAAAAGTACATGGACAAGAAGAAACAGGAAGTGCTGATGGACCTGGCCAATGGACACAAGGTCAAAGGAGCTCCCCAGGCACTGGATGTCCACAACATCGCCGGCGCTCTGTTCGTCCTGGCCTTTGGACTCACCTTTGCTTTCTGTGCCCTCGTGATGGAGTTTCTGGTCCATAGAATGAAAATAAGCAAATAATTTGGCCATTAAAATGATTCCCGCTTGTGCCGGACAGTGGAGATTGACCCACTGCATCCTTGGGATTCAAGCGCACGTGTCGCAGCAAACATCAAAATCGCATGCTGCACGACACGGAAAAGCCACAAAAACCCCGCATGACTGGGGAACTAAAGTGTGGGGTACACTAGGGAAAAAGACGAGACAATGCATGGGAACGTAATCTGTGACAACTCAGTCATTGTTAAAATTGATTTTTTTTACTTTTCTATTTTTCTCTGAATAATATAATTTACCATGCTAAACGAGTCCAATGTTCCTTTATTCACTTTAAAAACATAAATAACTTAGTTTCCTTTTTTCGTTACAAATAAATCTGTATTAAAATGTTGTTTCGTCTTTAGAATTATAACTTTATCTGCACTTAACTTTCAAGTTGTAATATATACCTATAGTTACTAGAACTAAATAAAATGCAGAAACTCAGTCTCTTTACGCGCATTAAATTAGATAAATAAATTTGTGTTTTGGTTGTTACTATCCCTAAAAAGTAAGTATAACAAAGGGTTTTCTCAGTGCGCGGTGGTTGTTCGCATGGCAGAAATATGACGGCAGTTTGCAGCCTGAAATCGACCACTGGCATTGTTGGCCGGGATGGATAAGCGACACGGCCGAGTGGCCGACAGAAAAGTGAAAAGTAGATCCACCTCGCCGGGAATGGGGAGTATTGGGTAGGTACAGAGCACTGGGCTGCGGGGCTCTTTTTGCGGCACTATCTGCTGCACTTGCCACAGAGAATGCGGGCGGATTGGGGGATTGTGGACATGCAAGCGGAAAATGACTTCTGCCCTGTATGCTGCGGTAATTGGAAAAGCGTTTAGTGCTAGACGAACGCAATTTCGTCGCCGGTAACATTTTTAATGATGCCCTTAATTATCGCTGTGGGAAATTATTCATTATCACTAATTTGCCGTAGGTTTTCAGACCACTCGCATGCGTCTGCCCACTCGAAGTTGGAGGTGGAAAGTCTTTAGCCAAGCGATTTCTCATGGCCTTCTTATCCCGGCCACTCCAACCTTCTGGCTCCATTACCCCATCTCTCACCTTCAACTGCAAATACGGCTTGTTCTGCTCGTTAACAGCTCGTTTCGAAGCGACAAACAAGCAAACCAACCAAGAAACCAACAGTGGCAACAACCACGATTGCAGGCACAGACAGCGGTAACAACGAGTTGGCCAACATGGCGGCTGTGTCATTTCCGTTGTCGTTCCTCTATCTTCATGGTTTCTATACTCTTTCGGAAGGTGTGTCGGATTGGGCTGGAACCAGTTAGATGCATTTTTAATATTGGTTAAAATACTTGAGTTTCGCTTAACGAATATCACGTATACGCAGTGTTGTATTTTATTGATTAATTGAATCTACTTAAACTATATAAAATATTACTTAATTTGTTACATTAGCAAACACTTGGAATAAACGATAACTTATCTTTATTGAATGACTTGAAAGTAATGTAATGTTTCCCTTATTACAATTTTCATTGTATTTTAAAAAGATACAAAACACACAAAAAATAAAGGAATACAAATAGTTTTATGTAATTAATAGTTCTTTTTTTCCTCAACAAGGATAACATTTTTAATAACTTAAAAGTTTAATTTGTAGGGGTTAAAGTATTGCAATAGTATTGAATAAGTTTTTTATAGCTAAATCCTTAAGGGTATTTTACACTTCGGTGCTTGCAGTTGAATTTTTAACCAGTTTTTGTTTTGTTTATTGTTAGTCCGAGCTTTTGCATATTTCCGCTTTTGTGTTTGGAATTTTTAAGTGAGTGCGCTCAACTTTGTTTGTTGGTGTTTGCTGCTGCTGCTGTTGCTGTGATTTCTGCTGATTTGCGGCTGCTAATGCAGCTGTTTGTTTCCGTTTGTTAGCAGTCACTTGTTGTTGCTGTCAGAGTTTGGAGTTTTACCCCGCCCAGCCAGCAATATGACAATTTGCTCGTTTTTGGGTTAGCCAAAAGTTTTCGGATCGAATGAAATTTGTGTGAGCCGATAATCGCCTTCAAAGGGCTTAATATGCGGAAAGAGAGATAGAAAAGTTCTCCGAAAAGCGGAAACTCGAGTTCATAACTTTTGCATTTGCACTTAATTAAAAGGTCTGTGGATGGGGGAGTATTTTTCACATGCAATCAGTGCAACCTGCAGCGTCTCAGATTTTAACTTAATTTATGGCCAGCAGCCAACAGGCGATAATTGAAATTATATGAAAGGGGAGCCAGGCGGCAAACAGCTTTTCCTTTGGCCGCGGTAAATAAAATAAATCTGTGCGAGGCGTTGTCGTCCGTGTTGAAATTTACGCGCTCCGATAAAAGTGCTATCCGGACGCGGAGTAAGGGTCTCTTGACTCCGCCGGAGTGGATTGGCACGTGCAACCTGCAGCCAGACGACAGCCCCGATAAAATATGAGCTCGATCCGGACTTTTCGGCGTCTGAGAGTTTGGGGGCCGGCCTTTAAATTGAATTAGCCCTGGCGCAAGGCGAGATGCTTGTGAATTTTTAATGGACCGCCGCCATTCGAATCGATCCAATTAGAAATTCAGAATGTTTTTTGCCCTGCATAATTGCTTGTGTTTTTCATTGGGACGTCGTTGCCCGAACAACGGCCTCCTCCATCTTACGCCTCATTATCAACGCAGACGATATGCCACCATTTCTCTCACTTTTAAGCGACAGTTTTTTTTTTCAAGACGCCGGCAAATTTATCGCTCATAATTATTTCATTTTACAGTCTGCTGAAGTTCCCAGGCAAACGACCCCGTCTTTGACGTGCTTTTAAATTTGCGCGGCATTTGTTTGCTTTCTGCCAGCGTCCTTTTAATATTTCACAAGGTGTTTGCTATTGGCTTCCCCATCAAACTTTTGGCTTAGTCTAATGCCGCTTAGAAGGCATTACACAAATGCACTCGCTGGCACAGTTTCCAGTTGCTACAAGCCGCTATTGTTCTACGAATAAGCCCCTCCTGCAAAAACACTCCCCCAAACTTCCCCCTTTTCGCAAAGTGTGTGTTTGGGGCTGTGCGAGGTGCACGAAGTAGATGGTGCCAATCAACACACATGACTACACGGCAGGTGGGAGTACATACCCCAGAGCTCGCTGCATTAGCATAATAAAACAACTGGGGGAAAAGTTTGCGGCAGTGTTTCGCTATTCAATTGCAAAGAAATAAGTACCCTGTAATTATTTTTTAAGTTCTTTATTATATGCAGAGAAAGCAAATCAAGGAAAAAATTGTAGGTTAAAAATCACAAATGGTTTTTTCTTATGATTTCGGATATGCTTTATTTTACATTTTAAAACTTGTTGACCGAATCTGAAAAGCTTAACATTCCAAACATATTTTCTTCATTCACAGACTTAACATTTTGACCCCATGTCGAGACTCCTTTTCTGCTGAAAAAACCGAGATTTACCATAATGCCACTTGATTGGGTGCATTCAGCACATTTTTGTGCCTCCAATTACAGGGTATTACTTGCACAAAACCAGACACCGCAAAAGTGCAGAGCTGCTTTGGCAGGCTTTTCAGGCGATGCAAAAACAACAACAACATCAAATATGGGTAACAACAAAAAAAGAACGGCAACAACAACAATGGAGTCGAGGGAGCAATTAAGCAAACATGTGTGTATTTGTGGGTGCGTTTTTGTGTGATGTGGGAATTTAGGTAAATTGTTTTGCACTTAGCTAAAAAGTTGGCGTGCCAAATAAATACAGGGCACGAAATCGGCTTAAGCTGTTATCTCTCGTGCTGTTTCACTTAGCTGCGTTTTTGGTGCGGATCTTGGTCCGGATCGAGATCGGGGCCATTAATCACAAATAGAGGCTTTAGAGAGATGGGAGAGGTGGATTAGGTGGTAGAATAGATTTACCAGTGACGGGTGCATTGGGGATTGTAGGTAAGACCTTCCTACACAAATTATTATAGTGTTGTATACATCATAAGGGGCTTTAATTTTTAGAGAACTATTATAGCCATAATTATTAAAATTTTCAAAAATATAGTTTAGGTAATGAATGGAATGAATAAATAAATAACTTTATTTCCACTTCTTTGGTTTATTTATATAACTAAATTATTTTGTATACTCCACAAATATTATCTAGGATCCGCCACTGTTTAGTGTAATTGAGGAGTTAGTACAGCTTGACTGGCGGCTTCTTTCACTCTCTCCCGGCTTATAACGGTAATCTTCTCTCCTCTCCTTCCAATTGCAATGACGAGTGACAACAGCAAAGTCAAAGCGGGCAAAGCAACAACAACAACAAAAACAACGTGGCTGGAATAACAGAAATGTAAGTGGGCTCAATCCATTGACTATCCTATCGGAATCTGCCTGAAACAAGACAAATTGCACTCCAGCCTGGATCTATGGCTACCAAACGAAACAGAGTCACCGCTCAAAGTCTAGAATTTTTTTCTCCTTTCCGCAAAGAATTCGAGTTCGAGCCAGGAATAAGGATAAAGGAGGGATATGGAGTCCTGGAGGCAAGCGAGTCAAAGAGAGTTACCAGCTCTGGGGCATAAAAGGCAAGCCGTGTCGAAATGCTGATGACGTTTCACATTCAAATGGTGCAGAAGGGAAAACAATGAAGGTAAGTAGGCAATGCAACGAATTTTGATTGCTCTGAAAATATTTAATATAATATATATTTAAATATTGTGCAAAATAAAAACGTTTCACAAAACAAAAAAATTGGAGTGTACAAAACCATCAAAATGTATTCCTTCTGCATTGTTGAGTACAAAACACGAAGTTGAGTTGTGTTATTTAAAAGCAGCTCTTTTAAAATTTAAAATACTATAATCAAAATGGCTCGAATTTATTATATAACAAACCGAATTCAGATTGCCTCAAGTGTTTACTGTTTACAAAGCTCTTCAAAACATTTTCGTTGAATAATCGATGGTGTGTAAAACTTGTTAATTTTCTGAGCTAACCAATAAATGTACCCCTTG